AAATTGTTACTTTTAATAAATTAATAATGTTATTTAAAGCCTTTAATAAAGTATATTATTTCTTTTTTTTTAATTTTAAGATATATTATAATAATATTATTAACGTAAATAAATAATAATATTATTAACGTAAATAAATAATAATATTATTAACGTAAATAAATAATAAAATCCTTTTTTTAGTAAATATATAAAATTTTTTAAAAATAGGTTTAAAGCCTAAGGTTTTTAAAATCTTAATTAATTTTTTTTATTATAATAAAAAAGATTTTTATAATTTATATAACGTTTTAAATAATTTGAAGATATTACTTTTTTTTTAATAACTTAATAATATTCTTATAAACATATTTCTTTTAAATTTTATATTTATAAATATGTTTATAACGTTATATTAAATTAATTTAAAGTTAAATTTTACAATTATTACCATTAAAATCTTAAAAAACCTTTTAATTAATATTAAGGTATATATCTCTTCAATTTTTAAAGCTTATTAATCCTTTTAAATTATTAATTTTACCTTAACCTTTTATAAATAGTTATATTTATTAATCTTATATATATATACTTATATATAATTAAGAATTTATTTTTTAAAGTATTTGAAATTAAATTGTAAAATCTTTTTTTAAATTTTTATTTAACCATAACTTTTTAAATATATCTTTTTAATCTCTTCAAATAACGCCTTATAAAAGTGATTCTTAATATTACCGTACCTTTTAAAAAATTTCGAAAAGTTTTTCTAATATATCTTTTTAAATTTATTTACCTATTAAAAATTAATTTTAATGTATATTATTAAAGTAACCAAATTATATTAAAAAAATTTATAAAAAAATTTTATTTTTTCTATTTTATTAATTACTTATCTTTAATAAATCCTTATTTAACTTTTTAATTTATTTATATTAAATATAATTTACTAGGTTTTAATTTATAAATATTTTTTATTAAATAAAATATTAAAATAGTTTAACGTTTTAAAATATATTATAATTATAAACAAAATTATTAACGGTAATGGATTTAAAATTGGTATAAAAACAAACTTAATACTTATATAAAGATAATTAGTTTTTATTGTAGTATTTATTACTTTAAATTTACCTAATATATTATTTATTAATAATATTAAATTTAATTTTAATACATCCACATTTTTAATATACCCAAATTTATTATTTACTATATTATTGTTAATAATTTAAGTAATAATCAATTAAGAATTTTAAATAAATTAAAATATATAATTATATTTCTTAATATTTATATAAAATAAATTATTATATAATTTTTTTTTAATTTTATAAAATTTCTATTAAATAACTTATTTTTATTAAAAATTATATTATAAATTTTTATTACTTTATTTATATAAAGATTTTAAATTTTATATATATTAATTAATATATAATTTATTAAAAAACTTATTTAAATTTTTAAATCTAATTAATATTTCTTATTAATTTTTTTAAGGCGTTTATTATTAATATATAAGTTTTACAATTATATATTCGCAAATAAGCCTATTAAAACTTCTTTTTCCAAATTATAATATCATTATTTACTATTATAAATATATAAAAATAATTATATAAAAATTATTAATTATATTTATATTATAATATATAATTATATAAATATATTATAACTTTATATATCTTTAATTATAATAAATATAATAATTTTATATTTACTTTTATAATTTTATTTTTATTTTTAATTATACTTTTTAAACGTTTAATAATATTGTTTTATATTTATATATAATTAATTAAAGGTTTTAATCTTATATGAAGGTTTTTAAAATAGTTTTTTATTATTAATTTTATTTAAGTAATCTTATAATTTAATTTTTAAATTTATGGGGTGATATTATATTAGTATTTTAATAGTTTAATAAAATCTTTTAAAATTATAATTATTATTTTTAATTTTTAATTATATAAATAATAATTAAAAATTATATTAATTTATTTATTAATAATTAATATAAGGTTTATAATTTTATAATTATTTATTTTTATTAAATAAAAATTAAGGGTTAATTTTATATTAAGAAATTTATTAATATAATATAACATACACCTTACTTAACATTTTATTTTAAATATATTATATATTTTATATTTAATTATTATAAATCTTTTAATTCTTACCCTTTTATTAATATTAATTAAATATTTTAAAACTTAAAACTTTAAATATCTTAATTTTAAATATTAACAAAAAATAATTATAATATTTGAAATTTTTATAAATCTTAAATTTAAAGCGTTATAATAAATATAAAAGATAATTTTTAAAACCTTATAAAAAATATCTTTAAATATAAATTAATTACAATAATTAATAAATTTAGTTATAATAATATTATTTAATTATTTTAAATAAATAAAATTATTATATATATTTCATTAATAACTTTACTTTTATAACTGCTTTAAAAATATAAGATTATAAATAAAACTTTTATAATAAACTACATTTACTAACCTTATCCTAATAAATCCTTTTAAATATTAAATATAAATATTTATTTCTTTATAACCTATAACTTTAATTTTATTATTATCTATTATAATATAATTATTTAATAATATTATTTTATAATTAATAAATTAAAATATTTTATTAAATATATAAATAATAATCCTTAAATTTAATATTGTTAAATTTTTTAATAAATATTAAATAATATTAAAAATAGTAATATAGGTTAATACCACAAAAACTGCACCTTTTTTTATAATAATTATACACTTATTTAATTAATTATTTTTATTTTTTACCCCTTAAACCTTTACCTCCTTTTTTAAAATTTCTATCTTAACTACTAAATTAAAATTAATTTTTAAAATTAACTTTACTAAAATAATATTTACTTTTTTAAATTTAAAATATTTAAATCTTTTATCCTTAAATATATAAAAATAATTTTCAACGTTATAAAAATCTTAACAAACCTTACATTCAACATTACAACTATAATTTTAATATTTATAAAATTAATTTAAATTAATATTAACCTTTTTACGCTTATTAAAATTATTTTATTACTTTTTAAAAATTCTTATAAATTATAATAATTTTCTTTAACAATTAAATTTACCTTTTTAATTAATATTTTCACTTTTATCAATACTATAAATTAACCCAAAAATACCTTTAATTATTTTTCTTTTTCTTTTAACACTTTTAAAAACTTATATATACCTCCATAACGCCATAATCACCTCTTAAGATATTAAGGTTCCATTATATATCTTTTTATAAAAAATAATATTTTAAATAATTACTTAATCCGTTAATACAAATTTTAAAACTAACGCCAATACATAAAACCACTCTTAAAAATTTTTAATAGTAATTAATTTTAAATATTTAATTTTAATAAAAATAATAAATTAATTAATTATTTAAATTTTTTAATTTTTAAATATTTTTATAAATAATACTATAACCTTTACATAATTATTTTACATTTTATACTTTAACACATATATACCTAAATAATTTTTTAAGATATTATACATATCCCAAATTATATATTTAAATTATTATATAATTTTAAAATAAAATTTTAATATAATTTAAATAATTAATTATTTTAATTTAATAATTTTTTTTTATTAATTATATTTATTTTTAATATATATATATACGTTTAATTTTTTTAAATAAAGTTTTTATAAAGTTTTAATCATCTTTTACATTATTTAAAAAAGAAAAAATTAATTATTTAAGATTAATATTATTAATAATTAATCTTTTAATAAAATTCTTATTTTTATTATTATTCTTAAATGGAATTTAAATAAATTAAATAATTTTTTATAATTTTAAATTTAAAATATTTAAAAAAAAGGTTTAATTTAAATTTTAAATTCCTTGTATATATTAATATTATTAAGATTTATTTACTCCTAAAATTAATAGTTTTAAACAAATAATATAAACGTTTTATTTTATATATTTTAATCGTTAAAATACTTAAATTTAAAACTTAATAATAATATAATAAAATTTATAATAAAATAAATAAATAAATAATAATTTATTTAAAATTTATTTTAACGTATACATATTATATTATATAATACCGGTTAAGATTTTATCTTTAAAATTTATACAATTTAAATATATAAAATTTTTAATTATTATATAATTAATACATATTAAATAAACGTTATATAAAATTTAATTTATTATATTCTTAATAATTTAATTAATTAAGGTAAAATTATAAAAACGTATATTATACCGCTATTTTATATAAAACTAGGGATTTTCAGGTTATCTGATATGGCTGACTAATTTGACAGTAGGTTATAGGTTCTGGCTCTTATCTCACGTGGAAAGTGGATGGGTTGGCCTTTTATTAAAATTTACCTGGCCTTTTAACATTACTATTAAAATATTATGTAAAATAATTACAAAACATGGAACAGTACCTATACTTGTAGAACAATTCCACATAAAATTTTAAAAATAATCCACTTATATAATATCAGCCCCATTATTCTCATATTTCAGCCAATCAGAAGCCTAAAATAGATAGAACGTTCCACCTCCACCAACCGCTCCCATTATGTAAACCATTCCACAAACCTATATTTTCCCGCTATGGTACCTATATTATTAGGTGTCTGTTATATGTACATTAGGTACATATATGCCATACGTACCTACATGTAGGTAGGTAGCTTATGTATTGTACCTAGGTAGTTACCTGACATCATGTAAGTTACCTACCTACCTACCTAAAGGAAGCGCAATCCAAGCTCTTTCAATGATAGCCTGAGCGACGAGTATTACTAGCGTTTGACGTTAAAGCTAAGTTGCTAGCTGGCGGCCTGTGCATGACTACTGGCGTTTGCACCTTCCATCTCCTGCATCAATGTGAATTTATTCTTTTACTAGAAAAGTTGGAGCTTATTTTTATTTTTGCTCTCTTTTTGGCTCTTTCTGTCCACCATTTGGAACTTGCAAAAATGCCTCTCGGGTGGTATCTCGCTCAGGGTTTGTGCCCACTTGGTCCATCTAGTAGCGATGATGAGGAGGGCCCCTGCGAGTTGCCTAATGGCCGAATCGTTTGCGGTCCACATGGCCTTGTCGTTTGTGGAAAATGCTGTACAGATTACAGCTTCATAGGCAGTTCTTCGGATGGAGATGAAGATTACGACGATGACGATGACAACGAGGATGATGATGATAGCCCTATGATTGATCCCCCGATTAACGAGGACGGCGATCTTGATCCACCACGTCTCTTTGGAACGGAAATGAGAAGAGGTACTGGCCAGGTCGTCCCTGAGAGGTTCACTCCACCGACGACTACAATTATGCCAACGGAGCTGTTTCGCGTCCAGAAGACTTATTCTCGATTGACCAGGTAAGAGCAACGTACGGAAAAATATATCCGCCTCAGAATGAACCATCTCTAAGGACAGGCTCGCTGATATGCATTGTTAGATACATCCACCGCGATGACCCCCAGACGGTTCTCATCTTCACTGACGGCGCTTGCTTGAATAATGGCCAGCCAGACCCCAAAGCCGGCTGGGCGATCGTCTATGGACTTGGACCCACGGGCGAGCCGTTAATCGCATATGGCAGGTTAGAGCGCAAGGGACCTTTTGGTGACGAGAGCATTCAGAGCAGCAACAGGGCCGAGCTTCGTGCTGTTATTGCAGCTTTGCGCCTCCGATACTGGCCTGGGGAAGGCTTTACTACTATGGTCATCGCTACCGACTCGGAGTATGTAGTTGAGGGATCTACAAAATGGGCCAGAGCATGGTCCAGAAATGATTGGAAGACAGATACAGGCGCGGACGTCAAGAACAAAGACATGTGGGAAATGCTCCTGGGCGAATTTGAGAGATGGGAGGAGGAAGGTCTCTCTATCAAATTTTGGAGAATCCCAAGAGACTGGAACAAGACCGCGGATGCGGCTGCGAAGAAGGGTGCTTCAGAGAATGAGGTGCCTAACCAGTGGGTGGAGATGCATGGTGTTCTTTTTTAAGTAGGACACTTTCGTTCTTAGAGAACCCGTGGATCTTACTATGGCATATGATCTACGTGCAATGGACATCAATACTAAAAATAGATGCAAAGGATTGACTTACACGAGTAGCGCTTTATTGGGAGGAGGTGTCCGAGGTTTTATCGGTTATCAGCCTAGAGGTTACATCCGACCCCGCCGAAGCTCAAGTATAGAGTTAATCTACATGAGATAGTGACACCAATGGGCTAACCTAATCCAAAGGCTAATCATAAGATAACAACAACATTGAGGTCATCTAACAACTAACATTAGGTAGTAAAATGATGGAATGGTATTAAACATAAGAAATCCAATAACATTGAGAGTCTAACAGTCTAACAGTCTAACAGTCTAGCAGCCTAACAGTCTAACATGGCTTCACTCAATTACGGGACAACGGCACCGCCTCAACAAAGACATAAACTCTCCGAATTAGAAGACTACCCACGATGGAATGCCGAATTAATCGAGGCCTTACGCGCGAGAGATTTACTTCCCTTCGTCACCGCGAGTATTTTAGCACCCGCCGGCGATAATGATTCCCCAGATTATCTGCGATGGCGGAAGAACCGCCTCACTGTCTTGCTTATGATGAAGCGTTCGCTATCGGCAGATATGAAATGCAGACTTTCCAATGCCGGGTGGGATTTCGGACGTAGCAGAGACCCTAAGAAGATGTATGATTTAATTCGTAAGGTTGCTCAAAACGGACAAGACGACGAGAGCGACACGGCTTCCAAGCCCCCGTCGCCACTGGAGTCAAATGCTATGGTAGACGATCTTACCAAAGAAATCGAGTTAATAGAACAGGAAGATGGCGAGGAGGACTGGACTGCCGTCGAAGTACCGTCTAAAGAGCCACCTCCCGAGTCAATTCAGGATCGCGTCGTACGTGTATGGAACGACCTCCGTGACTTGACGGCTTATTATGATATCGATGGCTCCGCATCGCGGAATGCGAGGTTAGAGGTATTCTACCAAGATGAACTCGCAGACCTCGAGAGACAGCCTTTCGACTCCTACTCTTCACAGGATGATAAGGTTGACCATCTGCTGCTTCGGAACTACATACGGCGCGCACAACGCACACTTGAGCTCGACAAGGCTCGAGATGCCAAGTTTACAGCCTTCATTGAACCGTTTGCTGCGCCTATTACGACGTGGTGCGAACAACGCCGACGCGTCGAGCCAATTGATCCCAAGGCTCTTGCTGATAGCCTTACTGCGACGGAGAAGCTTGTCTTCGAGGCTCGAGATCACGTTAATCACAATGCCAGCAAGTACTCAAAGGCTACTGGGCATCGTGCCGTCCGTAGGGTCGCAGCTCTGCGAAAAAAGCTCGCGAAGATGTACTCTTTCTATAAGGATTACGATCCCCTATTCGACTGGTGGGTCACAGAGCCTTATAAACGCCTCGATGTAGCTCTTGGTGATATTGTAGCTCTCTTACGCGAGGTTCTGGTAGGCGTAAAGCCCGGCGATGAAGAGACTATCGTTGGAGAGCCCATTGGACGCGACGGCCTTCTGAGTGACCTCGAAGCTGAGATGATCCCATATACACCCGAAGAACTTTTACGTATCGCAGAGAAGGAATATGCATGGTGCGAAGCAGAGATGATCAAGGCATCGCAGCAACTCAACTTTGGAACGCACTGGCGCAGCGCTCTCGAGCATGTCAAGAATCTGTACGAACCACCGGGGGCATACCCAGCTTTCATCCGGTCGCTCATCGACGAGGGTGCCGCGTACGTCAAAAAGCACGATCTTGTAACAGTACCACGCATCGCCGAGGAGGCTATTCGCATGACTATGATCGAGGCAGAGCGACAGAAGGTGTCGCCGTTTTTCCTCGGTGGTCCAACTATGCAAATGTCTTATCCGACGCGGGATATGGCACACGAGGCCAAGCTCATGTCGCTGCGCGGTAATAACCGGCACTTTGGGCGAGCGACAGCCTTTCACGAGATGATTCCAGGTCATCACTTGCAGATGTTCATGGGAGAGCGGCACCATCACTATCGTCGCGCGCTTTTCGACACCCCCTTTTTCGTGGAGGGATGGGCGCTTTATTGGGAGATGGTACTCTGGGAGCGAGGCGACTTCTTCGTGAGCGCTGAGGATAAGATTGGCTCGCTGTTCTGGCGTATGCACCGGTGCGCGCGCATCTTGTTTTCTGTGCGTTTCCACCTAGGCCAATTAGACGCACGGCAGTGTGTTGATCTCCTCGTCAACAAGGTGGGCCACGAGCGCGCAACAGCTGAAGGCGAGGTCCGGCGTAGTCTTGGCGGCGAATATTCGCCTCTATACCAGGCCGGCTATATGCTTGGAGCTCTGCAGCTGATGCGTCTGCGAAAGGAGGCCTTGGGAGATGGACACGGGAAGATGCGCGAGAAGGAATTCCACGACCGGGTCCTACGCGCCAACGTCATGCCCATTGAGATGCTGAGAGCGTTGGTTCTAGACAAGGAGCTCAAGAAAGACTTCAAGTCTGAGTGGAGGTTCTATGAAGATAAGCTATAGCGGGATAGCGGGAAGCTTCTTCAACTGAGGTGCACGCTGGCGTGTTTGCTATGTCTATCGCTCACGGTATGGCGTTCTGATTATGGATTATGACTTTATGTGTATGCAATATCGATGCCGTTCACATTACTGGCTCCTTTCTTGGACTCTATGTCCCACCTCCAAGTATCAAGCTTGTTCGGAATTCCTACTCTATACGAACTATGGAACTGTAGATTTGGTCCTTCCTTAGCCATAACGATGTGAAGGCCTGCGCTGATGCGTTGTTGGTCTGCAGTCTTAACGCAGCTGTATACTATTCTCTTGAGGACATCACATTTACAACTTTAGAATACATTCAGAGCAGTCCGGCCTTCCTAGTTCCAATATGATACCATTATTCCCGAGCTAATTTATTTTCGTGGAATTAACCATAGCCTAGCCCGTACCATGAGTATAGCGGCTCCAATCGTGTCTTATCCTGATCGAAATGATCAAAGATATCCCCATCTCGTTCGGCCCACATCCGCCGCATAGCCTTCCATGTAAACTTGTTCTCGTCGACACCGACTTCCCCGAGAGAGGCACGTTGCAGCACGCTTTATACCCAAGCATGGCAAGCTCTCTCGCGCTCCTCCGTAAGCATAGTTGATGCCTGTCGCAGGCTCGGAATGGCTGCCTCCTCTTCGGCCTGCAGGTCCAACAGGAAGCGCACCGCCACGCCAATCTTTACCCGCACAACGCCGAGCTCTTTGACCAGCTTCCTCTCTTCCAAACCCAGCGGAATTGTCTTCTATTCCCTAATCAGCCTCTCGAGCGAAACGGGCCGGCTAACTGCGCTGTGTAGACGCGATGCGATACGTGGTAGGTGATAACATTGAAAATCCCGAGTTCACGAGGGATGAGGGATATTGTGCTTCCTAGATTTTCTCCCACGGGGGTTTTAATCTTATATTGCTGATTTTTCAAGCAGCTCTGAGCGATTCTGGGCGGTTTTAAGCTCGGATTTGCCTTGAGGTTTATTTGGGGGGTTTTTTGTTGCTTTTTTCTTCGTCTAGGAAAAGAGGTAGTCTTATCAATTTACCTTGCCCAAGTTCACGAGGGATATTATGCCGCTTAGATTCTCACAAGAGTTCAATCTTGTCATCAAAGTTTAAGCAGTTTTAAGGTTTTCTAAATTTGGACTTGCTAAAATAATGAATTTTTATTTGTTGGGTGTAATTTGAACGGTAGGGAATAACTGTGTTATCGACATATAGGGGATGGGCTTGGAGTGGGTTTAGTACTTCCTTCGTACACGAACACTTTGCTTTTGTTATGCTATTTTCACTTTCATTCTCATCCCGTCCACTGGTTTAGAAGTGACTTGTCGTGTCTGTAGCGTCTATATCAATACATGGCTTAAGGGGAGAACAAAATCATGGTGAATTTGCTTACGTTGTAGAGTTCTGACTTGACCTTAAACCGCCCTCCGTTAGCTCTAACTGGTAGATTCATTTCGTCCATCTCAATCTCGCCAAGACCAACCTTCACGAAGTTATATCGACGGGCTACAACAGCAATGATGACACGCAATTCGATGTTGGCAAACTCTTGTCCGATGCAGCTGCGAGGTCCACGCTCGAAGGGCCTCCAAGCACTATGAGGGACTTGGTTGGGAGGTAAGTCGGTCGAATGCTTCTTAGATAATTCATCGTCTTCCCCGATCCATCGCTCTGGTACGAAGGTATTGGCCGAATCACCGTAAACATCAGGGTCCCGGTGTATGAGACTTTCACAGTTATATATTATCATTCCATCAAGACAATGGTCCTGGCCGTCGGGTGTCCGTACAGTGCCCTGTGCCGGGTGCAGATGTTCGCGCCGTGGCAGCGGGCGGGTGCAGACGCAGCGTCTCTTTAATAACAGCTGCAATATATTTCATGCGGCGCAATGAATCTGGGCCATCATGGGAAAGAAGCTTTGCCCGTATTTCGGCCACGCCGGTCTCCGGACCAAGAATATCGTCGAGTTCGGTACGAACGGCTTTCAAAGCGTGCGGTGTCAGTGATAGTTCGTACAATATCCATGCGATGGCTGTGCTAGTAGTATCGTGGCCAGCAAATGGGAACGTTTTAATTTGATCGCAGGCTTCATTTATAAGCTGGGGTGTAAGAACTTCGGTATCCTGTAAAGCGAGTGAGAGGATGCTGCGGGCGTTATCTCTTTTGACGGTATGGTTTCGCTGGATTATAGCTTTCACGATCGTATCAATACGTTTTCCAAGACGACGACGTTTCAATATCGTCCGAGGAATCAGCCACCAAGGTAGGTCTGCCTTGTCATCTGCATAGGCACTGAGTAGCTCCCTGTAAGTTCGTATAAGCTCGCTCTGGCTATCGGGATTGGTATGTTGGGCGTGAAGATCCTCGCCCATAACAACCGCGCCAATTATATCGAACGTTAGATTAACCCCAAAAGGAACAAGCGAAAAGTCATCGCCTGTTCTCACGAATGAGTCTAGATGCTCGACAAAGCTAATAGTCTTATCCAGAATGCAAGGCAACATAGTTATAAGATGCCGGGGTGCGAACCCTGGGCTAAATCTTTTCCGGAGTGCTTTCCACTCTTCACCATGTGAAGCAAGTATGGATGTTGGACCAATGACAGGTTCCAAATATCTTGGATTGGCTTTGGGAGTACTGGTTGGAAAGATTTTAGAGGCCCTTGATACTTGCTCGGCGATTTCATGGCTACGAACAAGAACCATCGGACGATTGACAGGGCGCAGATCCACAAGCATCAGCGGTGGTCTGCCTAGATCTTCGTTCATTTGTATGAAAACGCTATCTATACTACATATTAGAAAACCAAGAATATCTGGAGCACTTGGAGCTAATAGGCCTTATGCTCACCCGGATGACGGTCTGCAGGGCCACGTGCAAGGTATTCACCCATCAGCTTGAGATGACCAAGCAGTAGTGAAGGGGGCAACTGAGGAATACCAGCATGCTGTTGGAAACGCTTGTATCGTAGCTTATTGTAGAGATATGCCACGAGTAGCGACAAGCCCGCGAGTATTAGTGGTTTCAACATGCTGGTCGTCAAATGATGTTAGACAATGACGTGTAGGTAAGTAGGTAACAATCAAGAAATAAAGAGTTGGGAAATACTGAGGGTCAGGCAGTTTTTGTTAGAAAAGGGAGCAAACGGTCATGTTGGAGCATGCAGTTAGAAGCGTGCGTTACACGAATAAAATGGTAGAGTTGGAATACAATTACAACAATCAATATCAGCGTAGTTATCTAAATGTTGCTAATAGGTATATACATGTATGTTAAAGCTAGAGCTCGATATAGACAGGCATTACATTATGAAAAAGAAAAAAGAAAAGAAAACCCGAGGGCGTTTGTGCATCTTTGAGGCTTTTACACACTTATTTATAGCTTGTACTTGGAAACTGGTGATCCTGACCGCCGTGTAACAATGACTTTGTATTAAATTAGGTACATTTATAATGGCCCATGAAATAAGACTCTTAGAAAATTTTAAGAGTTAAATACTAAAGTGGTATAAGTCAACGCTCGCTTAATTCCGATGAAGATTTAAAGTAATATTGATATAATCATTTCTACTCTTTTGAATTACACAAACTAAATAAGTACAAATAACACCCAAGTTATTTTACTAGCGTTTAAAGGTTAATCTTGTTATGCAACCCATCGTTAGGAATATGTCCTCATTGGACTCCTTAACCTATCGACCGATTGACGTCGATTTTAACAGTTTGGTAAGAAGTCTAAGATATAATATGACCTACCTTTTCAATGAGTGGTCCGCTTATGCGGGGAGCAACCGTGGGTTTAAATGCCAATGAAAGGCACCTGCTTCTAGCGGTTAGATAACGACTCCTATACCGGTGAGATATCTTACAAATATTAGCCTTTATCGCATTATATCCCGAGTTTCGGCCTCCTTAATTCTTTTTAGAAAGAATAGCCATATTTAATTAACATTTATGCTAGATGAGCTGTAGAAAGAATAGTAAACATAAATAAAAATGGAATATAAACGCCAACCCGAACGAAACGCGACACAGGTCAAGCCACGTCTAATTATTCACGGCGGCGCTGGCAATATTACACCCGAGAATTTAGGCCCGGGGAAATATAAACAATATAGACAGGCGCTTCTCACCATCGTATGCACTTATCTAACTACCTATTCATTCATCGAGGAGAAATAAAAGCTAAGCCGTATATAATAGGTGTCCAAGGCGGATGCTTATATACGCACTCCCGTGCCGTCGAGCGGAAATAACTCTTCTGAACTTGAATTTCCTTCCGCTCTCGATATCGTCGCATACGCCGTGACGCTCCTGGAGAATAATCCGCTATTCAACTCAGGCCACGGCGCCGTATTCACGCGCGATGGCATCAACGAATTGGAAGCCTCCGTCATGGTATCACGGGGTCATGCCAAACGTGGCGTCGGGGTGACCGGCCTGCGTAGGGTGAAGAACCCGATATTGCTAGCGAAGGCAATGCTGGAGCACGGAGACAAAGACCTGAGTAGAAAGAACCAGTCGGGATTGGCCCAACCGGACCTATTAACAGAATCCGGTGGTCTAGAGACGGCTGATCTTGATGTGCCGTCGGCGCAAGCCCACACGCTTATCCACGGGGAGACGGCCGAAACATTGGCCAAGATGTACGGGCTTGAACTAGTCGACCCCAAATACTTCTTCACCCAGCACCGCTGGGATGAGCACGTACGAGCGCTGGAAAAGGAAAAAGCGGGAAAGGGCCTGGCGACTTGGAGCGCTGAGGAATATCTACCCCAAGGCACGTGCGGCGCGGTCGCTTTAGATACGAATGGAGTCTTATGTGTGGCTACTAGTACGGGAGGTTTGACGAACAAACTTACTGGGCGCATCGGTGATACACCTGTCGTCGGCGCTGGCTTCTGGGCGGAAGAATGGGTCGAGACGGGCGAACCAGGTGCGGCGAACGCTTCGAGAAGTATTAAAAGATATTTGCCTGGCTTGCCAGGTCCAGTTGTAGATCTGTCGGCGAACCTACGAAACCTAGTCGCCGACTGTCTACCAACTCCCTTCGTATATTCTCCCGTTGCCCAAATGACTCCCAGTGGCGGTGACGATCACTTACAAACGACACGCTCCATCGCTTTATCGGGTACTGGAAATGGCGACTCCTTTCTACGAGTAGCCGCTGCCAGAACGGTCGGCTCAATCGCGCGATGGGCGAAGGTACCAGCAACTAATGCTGTGTATCGCGTTGCTGGAACAGGTGGGGAGCTACAGAAGAGCGCTGGTGACCGTTGGGGCCAAACAGGAGAAGGAGAGGGTGGTATGATCGGTATAGAGAGCATAGTGTCGCGCGATGAATCGGGTCGTGTGGTTAGTACCTCTGCCAATATACTGCAGGATCATAATTGCGGAGGGATGTTTCGAGCGTGGATTGACGATGACGGGAAAGCGGCAATGAGGATTTTTCACCCCGACAGAGCAGACGAGCTCCCAAACTCAATGGCTATGATCGGGGAGGGCGAAACCGAGGACGTTTGGCGCTGGACTGTTGATAAAGCATAGGGTATAGAATCACTAGACTAAACTAGACTGATTAGCTATAGATCCCAAGGCGAGACTTCGACACAGATAATCTAAAAGTAACTGTGTTCGTTAATATTAGGTAGTGTATTTGGATGTGGGTGTCCGCTGAGCAGGGACACGGCTTATGGAGGACTATCGACAGCCAATCCTGCCTCAACACAGCGGCAATATCCTCTTATTTTACATGTCATTCATCGCCCGACCATCCGTGTTGGTTATGCAAAGACCGCCTAGACCTGAGATATAAATACACGAAACCGATTCGATAATAGATCGGAAAGGAGCAGAGTGGGAATATTTTTTTTTTCGTCGCATTCGTTTTCAAGGATTCTATGCGAAAGCCTTCTCCGCGTCGGGCGGTGGCGGAGGCGCCTGGACGAGTATTAGTTTTCTACTTTTCGAGAGTGATGGATTAGGCGATCATGAAACTTACCTCTAATTTCGTTGAGCCCGCAAGCATTCTTTGGAACCCTATACCAACACCTTCGATGACGGCAAGGAGAACGGCGCAACCGATAGCACCGTTTCGCGCCGCCTTATATCCTCCTCGGACAGCTAGAGCACCACCGGTGAAGAAGCCCGCAACTAACAATGTTGTCAGTATATAGTTTCCAGGAAGGTACACAGACAACCTACTGATTGCATTGTAAGGATCTTCCTTTTTCCGTATTCCCTTAACCGCGCAGTCGAACGTCGAGAATAAACCACCCCATACACCTATTCTGTAGGTAAGCTTCGTAGAGATTGCGAATGACTTCTAGTGTCTAGTGCCTACCGAAGTTGCCACCTAGTACCGGTGCTCTCGCCTTAATAGCTGTGATTGCACCTATTCTCCTCTCGCCCATCGGACTGTTCCGAAAACCCTTGATACCGTGCCATATAGTTCCGCCGATTGCCTAATAGAAGACAAGCATTAGCTCACGTCTTCGAGTTTAACTGGGAGACAGCAGCAAATTAGAACAGGTAACATACACCCATAGCAAATGCACCTCCAAAATCGTTCAGAATGACCCATGGGCAAGGGTCTCTTGTGTGATCCATCTTAAGTGTCTGGTATAGTGGCGGGAAATTCTAGAATTTCGAGGTGGGATGACTAGAATTCTACTGATTGTGGTCGCAAACAGTATCTCAAACGACTATTGGCAAGTCTTACTCGTATGGGACGAAGGGGTATTGCGACGACGTTCGTTTTTGTCAGGGCGGGCAGGTTTTTGCGTGGAGTGTATTGTAAACTTGAAAATAAATCTTGGATCTTGTACATGAAGAATGACCTCGATACAGAAAATTGTTAATTCACTTTGGCGCACAGACCATATCGGATGCTGTGATAAGTCTTCTCCCGATAAGCGATAAACGATAAGTAACAAGCTACCCTGCCGCCCAGCCGCCTTACCGCCATCGTGGCTCGGCCCCTCATCCTTGTAAGTCTCAATTACTTCAGTTCTTAGCGCAGGCTTGCAATGGCTTCAGCTCTTGTTTAGTCTGGTATTATATAACACCCTAACCTAGTACGCAGATAAAAAGGAGAAGTTTGTCAATAGCTAGTTACCTAACTAAACTTATTACCTTAGTATATAACCCTCATGCTCTTTTCGATTATCCATACTTTCTACTCATATAATATGTCTTTCTGCTAACGAGGTAAACAAGATCGACGTTGAGGATTAAAGCCTATTATGCTTGTGCCGGTATCGGAAGCGGACATCACATCCAAATTCATACGATTACAAAAATAGAGCACATAAATAGGGTTACCTAATGTAGAGTTTATTCAGCCGTACATGTATGTAGTAAGAAAATTGTGCCATACCTACAAGATGACTCGAGTTACCTACTTTCCACCGGTATTCGCTTAAATTTATTTTCTTATCTGCCTAACAGCTACATAGTACCTACCTAGGTAACAGATAAAATACCTAAGGTAGGTATTTACTACCTAGTTAGGGAGTTTGTCGCAAATTAGAATACATATAACGTGTGAACCACGCTAAAATTCATCATTCTTCTTATACACCAATTTAAGAGCTCCCTTGCAACCTACGGTCTAGGTAGCACACATCAAACATATTGCATGGCTTCCATCTTTGTACGAGTATATACCTAGTGTGTGTATACCAAGGCTGTGTGCTACGTTTCGTCTTGATAGTCTTTATACATATGCCCAGACCTCTTATCTACCATAGGTACCTATTTAATACAACATTCAGCATTTAAGACAGTTGTTTCAGCTACGCTTATGGGATAACGAAACACGAAATGAAGTCCACTTTATCATATCTCACGTATTGACGGCTAGATATCGCGTCATAGGCGCCAAAGCCGGGCAATCATGTCTGACCGATATGCCTCTCCCCTTATTGTTAGCCACCAGCCTTTTTATGCAAACTGGCCAATCGATCTTCCGAAAGTCCATATGAAGAAAATTCCGCACACCGTAACTCGGGAGTTGGGAACATGTCACTTACTTAAAAGCCTCAGGCCCGCTCTCCCTGTTTGCTTCGAACGTGTTCTCTTATGCATCCCTTGGTCTTATAAGCCAACACAGTGAACACAGTGAACACAGCCAACACCATACTTGCAGACAACAAACAAAGACTTGTAAGCAAGCCATGGCTGTAGGGCTTAGCGAGATGGCTAGCGAGATGGCTGGCGCGTGTCAACGCTGTCAAGCGATCGAGGACGAAGAGACGGAAAAGAAAGACACCAACGAAGCTCTCAAGAAGCTTTATGCCAACAGCGTTAAGACTGCGGCCTGTAAGTTTGACCGAGTTCGTCACGATCTTATATGGAATTAGTTTTCCGTGAAACAGCACAGCGCCCTACCAGCCTACATCCCACAACATCTCCAACTTTCCAATCTGGGGAGACATTGAAGGAGATTGACCAATGGCACTAGCTTTGGGCAGAAACACGTTACATATCGGGCAAGCTGCCGGGGTCCCAAAAGCTGCTTAAAGTTTTACTAAAGAAACCCCAGAGCTAGGTACCTAGGTACCTACCTAACCTAACCTAACCTAAGGTACTAGTGTAGCCCCACCATAGTATGCTAGATACCTCCAGCTAGGTATGCTGGAATCTGGGGCAGATGTACCTGAAATTGCTGGAATCCCCTGAATCGCGTCACTGCAGACGCTAACGTCTAACCTACATAGAAGCTCTCCACATTCAATTATCTTCCTGTCAGTCATCACGCCACACGTCATTTTCAATTCTTTTCAATTTCATTACTGAATCCCATGACCAATTTTAGCTGTCCTTAATTCAAACATATACTCAAATCTCTCTTCTGAGAAGGGTCAATTATATAAACCTCTATTTTTTTTATCTCTTCCTTTAGATACATGTTTTTAGAGCGGTAGTTAATCCGGAAATAGCAGCCATGCCATCTACAACCACGACTTCGGCCCCATCTCCAATTCTCGAAATTCCTCCTCATACGACACCCCAACTACACCATAATCTTAAGCACGACAGTTCCGTTCTTGCGCTTGCCGTTGGTAATGACAGTATTTATGCCGGAACGCAAAATGGAGAAATCGTCGTATGGCTTCTGGGCACATTCCAGAAGACACATCACGTACAAGCCCATAAGCGTAGCGTTATGTGTCTCTTCCTCTCCGATGATGGCTCCCTCCTTTTTTCCAGTGCTAGCGATCCAATCGTAAACGTCTGGTGCCCCCGAACTATGACCCGTCTTTATGAGATATATAGCACCAACGATTCCTTTGGCGACATCTTTTCCGTCTCCTACTCCTCCCAACTTGAAACCGTCTACTATGGCGCTCAAAATACTTCCATCCAATGGGTTAGTCTCAAGGATCCTGATAGACGTGTCCCCCACGATTCTCCGAATCATCCCGATCGACGGAACCACCGATTCTTCGATTCTCGAGCTGTTGGTGGAACGAGCACACCCCGACCTACAGACGAACGGTACGACTTGATGCCCCGGTCTCAAACCGTACTGGAGACGGATAAGCGAGCGAACAAGATGTTCGCGCATTATGGTTACATTTATTGTATGCTCATGACAAAGGGTACAACCACTTACACGGAACCGGATGAGGATGTTTTAATATCGGGCGGTGGAGATGGGACGGTAAAGGTCTGGAAGCTTGGTAGCCACGAAATTGGTCCGGACGGGTATGAGAACGGTATCGAGGAGATCATGGTATTAGGGGAGCAAGATGCCATGTCCGTCATGTCCCTTGCTGTTGATGGCTCATTCCTATATAGCGGGAAGCTAGACGGCATCATCGAGCTATGGGACCTTGATACGAAGCAGAAACTAAGAGTCATCAAAGCCCATAAGGGTGATGTCATGGCTATTAAGATGGGATGGGGTTACTTATGGAGCGCAAGTCGTGCTGGGACAGCATGCGTAAGTGAATCGGTCCAGCTAACTAAGATAACCTCTAACAGCCGAGCAGAAACATAACACTGTCCACTATGGAGAGTATCAGCGCGATTCCTCGCAAAATGTCAACCAGAAGTATCAATGCCTGACTCAATGGAAGGCCCACAATGGCAAAGTGTTATCCTCTGCTATTACAACCTATGATGGGAAACACATCTACATCACGGGGGCCAACGATAATAACGTCGCCATCTGGGTGCTTAAGAACGAAGCGGCAACTGAACAGCCATCGCCTGAAGAGCACGAAGATATGATGATTACTTCCCTACGAGAGTTTGTATCATTCAAGACGGTCTCTTCCAGACCTGAGTATGCGGAAGATTGTCGTCGAGGTGCCAGCTTCCTCCGCACATTGTTCAAGAAACTTGGCGGCGACGTTGACATGTTGAGTGATGAAGACACATTTCACCATCCCGTGGTGCTTGCCAAATTTAGTGGGAAACTTGAACCGGCTGAAAAGCGAAAGAAGATCCTGTTCTATGGTCACTACGATGTTGTGGCAGCGGAGACTAAAAACGGAAAATGGAACAACGACCCTTTCCAACTTACTGGAACTAATGGGTACCTATATGGTCGTGGAGTCAGCGATAATAAAGGCCCCATCATGGCTGCTCTCTATGCCGTGACCGACCTCATACAAGCGAAATCGCTAGATTCCGACGTTGTTTTTCTAATTGAAGGACAGGAAGAATCTGGGTCCCGAGGTTTCAAAGAAACCGTGCGCAAGTATAAGGATCGCATCGGCAATATCGATTACATCCTTCTAGCTAACAGCTATTGGCTCAACGACGATACCCCATGCCTTACCTACGGCCTGAGGGGCGTTATGCACGCGACTGTGTGTGTTGAATCGAGAAATCCCGACCTGCACTCTGGTGTTGACGGTTCATACATGGTTAATGAGCCATTGTCCGATCTCATGTTGTTACTCTCGAAGCTCAAGGGCCCGCGAAACCATATTATGCTACCTGGGTTCTACGACGGCATCCTCCCCCTGACGGCCGATGAAGAAGCTCGGTATGATGACATTTTATCAGTTCTGATGGAGCAAGGCCAAAAGGGCGTTTCAGCGGAGGTACTCAAGGCCAATCTTATGGCACGGTGGCGTGAGCCAAATCTTACACACCACAAAGTTAAAGTGTCAGGTCCTGATGGCAGCCTGATAAGCAGTCATGCAAACGCTAAGATTAGCGTTCGGCTCGTCCCTGGGCAGGAGGTCGAAGAAGTTACTAACTCTTTAACCTCCTTCTTGGAGGAAGAATTCAGCAACCTGGGGTCGGATAATAAGCTGAGTATTCAGATCGACAACCAAGCTGAGCCTTGGCTTGGTGATCCCAATAATTACATCTTCCAAACCCTTGAGGAAGCTCTTATGCAAGCTTGGGCCCCCTTGTTCGACAAGGGTAGCAATGGTATCGGCAATGGAGACGGTGTGAATGGAAATAGCACCAACGGCAAACCCAAGCTCCGCAAACCCCTCTATATCAGAGAAGGCGGCTCGATTCCAGCTATAAGGTTTCTAGAGAAAGAGTTCAATGCCCCGGCTGCTCATTTACCATGCGGGCAATCTTCCGATTCGGCCCATCTGGATAACGAGAGACTACGAGTGATGAACCTGCTGAAGAGTCGCGAGATTTTTGCCTACGTATTTAAAAAGTTGTAGAGCAGGGGTGTATTTTGGAATGATTCATGGTGCTGCGGTGTTAAAGGAAAATATACCTATATCAGTTCACTGGTAGCGATGTTAATGGTACATATTAGAAAGTGGGACGACAGCGCGGCGTTTGCGGTACCCTATAGATTATAGAAATACAGATACCCCCGGTGTCAATTCCTTTCAGATTTCTGGAAGCACAAGTTTGTGCCCCCTCTAACCCCTATCTTCTCTTCTAATTATAGCTAAATATTTCCTTCAAAAATATGCGCCAAGTTCTGTGCCGATATCGTGTTAATGACACCTAACTAATTCAATACCTTCATTATCTAATCTTCATTCAACGGCGGCGTCGTTGGTTTTGGCTACTACTGCTCGATACTACTGACTCGGTTGGAGCCCACATATTCAAAAACTGCCACGGAGGAAATAGACATCGCCACCCACGCTGTTGTTGCTGTTCGGGGTGCTCACGCGGTCGCCGGTTGGCATCAGGCTGGTTACGGTCATGGTTACGGGTTGAAGACACCGAGATGGGTCGTGGAGGGGTGCCACGATAAGTGTTAGGGTCCCGTAGATTCGCTAAATGCTGGCCAAGATGGAATCCATCTCGGTAGGCGATCTCCATGACATCGAGATCCCCTTGATTGGGATGAGGAGGTCGGTATAGGTTATGCGGAGATGTAAAGGCGCTGCGTGGCCCGTATCCCCCAATGCTCGTCTGGGTGCCGCTGTGAATAGATCTTCTCCGTCTCTGGTGGTGAGAGCTAGGAGGTGGTTCGGTGTCCTCTTGCATTTGCTGCCCTGGTGATGAAGGAGGGTTGCCTTCGGGGGCGGTGTCGTACACCTCGTCATTGGGCTCGCTGACGCGGCTCGTACGTGATCTAGTACCCAAATGCCGTGATCGTTCTGATGGGCGATCATGATGGTCCCTAGTCCCGACTCCTCCTACGTTTGAGGGGACCGACACTCGCCGAGATTGCCTATTAGTGTCTGAATAATGCTCGGAGCCTCCGTTAGGTCGACGTCGAGTAGTAGAGGTACCTCGACTCGATCTCCGCGGCCGGTCTACGTCGCGATTTCGCTCGAACACCGCAAAGCCATCGTCGTCAAGGATCTCAACTAAAAGGGAATATCTCTTCCGACGAGGTTCCTCTTCGGCAGGTCTAGGGGAGCGAGAGCTCGATTCTCGGAGAGACGAAGATGGCATCTCTTGTCCCGATTCTATTTCGACTCCGTGGATGCTATTGTACTAGCTTGCGTTCGAGGTTTAATCTAGGTACCATACACGGTAGATCATGCGAATCACGAAGCATTATATACAGCATGGTAATACCGGCTTTGCTGAGAACGTTCTCGATTGCCTAGGTAGTCTCTCAAAGACTATATTTCGAATGCGTTGATCTATCCAGGACCAAAGATCTGCCGTGAATAAAGTCGATCTTTCTTCTCTATAAGACACGTTATTGAAGATCGGGCAATTCTTTATGCATCTTACCATACTACGTGATCCATTCCACTGTGCAATGTCTCTCGGGCAAACCCCGCGAGACCCTCATTTTGTATAAAGACCAACTGTTACTAATAAAATATGTAAAATAAGACTCAGCTTTAGATAGGGAAATGTATATGTCGGGTAATACTCAAAACAATGTCCTAAATTGTGGCATTCTACACCGACATCCACCTACGAAGGTTCGTTTAAATGTGCACTAGGCTTTGCACCCGATATTTTACTATGGCTTTTTATTCTTTCATGTGCCTATGTGTAGAGGAGTGCATGAATATGGATTTATATATATAAGAGCTGATATATGTTAAACGGCTCTAATAGCGAATGGAGGACTCAGAACTAATCTTACCATTTATTATGTTATTGCTTTATCATCCAGCTCATATTAATTTCATGCTATTGCAACATATATAACCCACCTGTTATATGAAATTAGCCTCGCTGCGCTTCCTAGCCGCTTGTTTTGCGCAGTCCTCTTCCATTCGCACACATTGCTGCGCAGAATGCAATAATTGCAAAGACGGTTGACGCGGTAAAGGAATATCTCAATCCATCGTAGTAAACCATTCGTGCTTTGAGCTGGATATCTGGAGGCAGCTCACGTAGTGTTTCGGCGGAGTGACGAATTGCGTCGATTACCTATTATTGCTCATTAGTATACAACTAAGGCTTTGAAGAGTTGAAAATCCTGTAACTAAGAAGGGTCGTACTCTCCATTTATCTGGTACATCGTTCAATACTGCCGGGAGTCGAATACTGAGCGTTGTTTGTACGATTGCGGAAGTGATTGATACGCCCCAAACCGTACCAAGTGATCGAATGAGGTAAACAGTAGACGCGGATACAGCATGATCTAGGAGGAGTTAAGTATACAATCACAGAAGCCTTGCCTCAAAGAAACTCACCTGCATGCTCGAATGTAGCTAGTGACGTGAAGAGAATACCCGGATATATAATACCCTGACCTAGATTTGCAGGAAAAATATAAATGTAGTACTTCCAATTGGAATCTACGAAGCTCAATGAGGTTACCAAACCGTTCCCAATAGCCATCAATATCGCACCAATGCGGATGAGGGTGATTAGCTTTCCCCATCGAGACATGACAATGCCTGCGATGAGACCCCCTATAGGAGTTGCCAACGATGGGATAGCAAGTCTAGCCCCTGCAGTCGTAGCCGAATCGAGAAGTATGATCTGGAAGAATAAGGGGAGTAGGAAGAGATACTACAGGAAAATGTTAATTCCAAAGACATGTAAGCATTGGTTAAGACAACCTACGGCATAAGCGGAGAGCCCAGCGCAGACATTGGACAGTTGTATGAAGATAGGTAAACGGCCCCTCAACATGCGTAGGGGTATGACCGGAATCGCCGTGGTCTTACCCTCGACCCAGAAGAAAATGCCGAAGAGTACGACGCTTCCGATCAAGGATATTATTACCCACGGGCTACTCCATGGCAACTCGTTTCCACCTAAGCTCAGCCCAACAAGCTGAACGGAGATTGCTAAAACTAGAAGAAAAGATCCAAGGAAGTCGACTCTATGCCAGGTTTCCTTCAGGCTTGAACCGCCACTGAAGCTGATCTGCTGGTTCTTAATGACCACGTAACCAAGAATAAGTGCTACGACAGATATCGGGACTTGCTACATACCTACTATTAGTTGAGTGACTTTAGATCCAAACAGGTATACTCACTAGTATAAAGCACCAGCGCCATCCGATAGTGTCAGCTATCGAGCCGCCGAAAGACGCACCGCATATCGCGCCGAAGCCAAATATGCCGTTTTGCATTGCTTGGTACATTCCACGTCGACGGAAAGGAATCATATCGGAATTTACGATGGTAGCTGTTATTAATTAGAATAATCACCGGCGAAGTTATATGAACGACCTACCCATAGTCATGAGGCCCCCGCCACCGAAGCCTGCTAGGGCTCTCATACAGTCGAGCAAGGCGATGCCATTTGCAAGACCACATCCTAGGCAGCCAACAGCAAATGTAATGGTAGAAATGAAAAAGCAAATGCGGCGACCGAAAATATCGGATACACGACCATACAGGGGCTGGAAGGCCGTGCTGGTAATGAGATACGACGTAGTGAGCCAAGATGCGGTGTTGGTGGCATCGAACTCGGAGCTGATCACGGCGTATGTAGCCGCTGTGATAGTGCCATCAAACCCGTAAAGGAAGACATTGGACATGATCGCCATCTCAATCCAGACGAAATAAGGAGGTGCCTTCCAACCATCTTCGCTTGGTGGGACCGAGCCGATCAGGGGTTGGCGTTCTCCGAACTCTGGGTCATGGGAGGCGGCATTAGGTGGTTCAGTGGCATCTTGTTCACTCAGGTTCCCCTGTATGCTACCGCACCTCTCAACTGCGCTATCTAGTATCGCGGATGGTTCATGAGAAGTAGCCATGCTAGTATGATTCAATAAGAGGAACCACTACAAGCTGCGAAGACTCAATTAAAGGGGTGCGAAGGACTACCGCATACGATTTTGCGATGTACCCTACAATTGGCATATCCTGATATTATATGAGCCGAATGTAGTACTGATATAACAGAAGTAACCGGTGTTTAAGATACCGGATGGGCAAGAAACCGTCGAGGGGAAAGGTAGAAAATGCTCCCCGAACTCGGGGTTGCTCTCCGAAGAATGGACCTATGACATATAGACACGGTTCCTTGCATATATACTACTACCTACTTGTTAATGATATGTAGGCTAAAATGATGCCATTGTGGATTCTTCTATCGTTATTCGACTTGGATCTATACCATCTCTTTAGGTCCTCGGCTGATTTAGCTATGGTGAGTCATAATTGTAGAGGGCAATATTTTCCTCCTTAACGGTTCGTTGATTTCACTACACCTAATGAGTCACACCGGTACTTAGTAGAGGTATTATAGTCCGGCAGTGCGTGATATAAGTTGGAGGCTCATATGTGAATATAGATGGTGTAGTCTCCCCGAACTCCTGCCCTCGACCTACAACCTTTTAACATTTTACTACTATAAATAATAAAAAATTGAGGATTCTCACCAATTCTCACACAATTATTGGGAGTGGCTATCTAGGGATATTGTATTAAACCAAGGTTAATGTACCCTCCTTTAATATAACGCAATGGAGTCGTTTTCTGACATAGGTAGTACTTACCCCTTTTGCATACCGCCATGAAGCCTACTCTCCTGCTAGAAACGGTACTAGTTTTATCGATCCCAGCTTTGGCGGATTGGCAATTCAAGTCTCGCTCAGACCTAGCTCCCCCAAGACTGAATATTACAATACCAGCAACCGAAGATGTTGAAAAGGGGTACTTGTTCGTCGCCCCTTTTGCTGGCTTTCCGGATACGCCTACGGAGCAGCACGGCCCTAGGCAAGCTGGCCCGTATATTTTCCGCGACAATGGAGATCTAGTGTGGTCTGGATACGGGATCTACAGTATCTGGTCAACCAATTTTCAGGCGGGCCGCTGGAGAGGTAAAGATATTCTGTTCAGCTTCGAAGGCGATCATAATCCGGGATATGGTCACGGCCACGGCCATATTACCATCATGGATAATCACTACGAGACAATCCGAGAGCTTCGAGCTGGTAACCACAAGCTTGTGGATAAGCACGAGTTTCATATTGTCAACGAGGAAACAGGGCTCATCCAAATATATCAGCCTGTTGCCCGCGATCTGACAGCCTGGGGTGGGAGCGCTGAGCAACAATGGATTGTCAATTCTATCATCCAAGGTAGGTGATTTTTAATTTTATTGGAGGGCTGATGGATGAGTATTAATAAAGCTGGTAGAACTCGATATAGCAACTGGTAAATTATTGTTTGAATGGTCGAGTCTGGACTACGTTTCGCCTGATGGTGCGTCTAACTATACCATGAATGACTACGCTCGAGAGTTTCTAATCAATTACAGAAGCAATTCTGCCAATCAACCCAGGCCAAGCCGGTTCTGGCTTCAACAGCTCTGATGCCTGGGATTACTTTCACATAAACAGTGTTGACAAAGACTCAGAGGGCAACTATCTTATATCCGCACGCGATGCATGCAGCATCCACAAGATCAACGGCACCGATGGAAGCATCATCTGGAAATTGAATGGTAAAGACAGCTCTTTCAATGTTCCAAAAGATGTCGAGTTTTGCTTTCAACATCATGCCCGATTTATAAGTCAATATGATGATGTTGAAATCATTAGCCTCTATGACAACAGCGCACATGGGATCGAACACAGTGGAGGATCTGAAGTTCACACGGCTCCAACAAGCAGCGGGAAGATTGTTAAAGTGAACACTACATCATGGGAGGCTGATTTAGTGCAAGCTTTCTTCCCACCTGACGGCCTATTATCCAAGTCTCAGGGCTCTACTCAGACGCTTCCAAACAGAAATGTCCTGGTAAACTGGGGATCTTCGGGAGCTGTGACTGAGTACCTTCCTAATGGTACAGCCATCTTCCATTCTTACATGGACTCTGGTTACCTTGGCCTTGGTGTTGAGAACTACCGTTCTTTTCGGTACAACTGGACTGGCCTGCCCAATGAGGAGCCTGCTATTGTGGCCCTGAGAGGTGAAGAATGCGTGACCGCCTACGTGAGTTGGAATGGCGACACCGAGACTAGAACGTGGAGATTCTACGCTGTTCTTGACGAGTTTGGTTCTAAAGAGTTCATTGGCGAGGTCGAGAGAACGAGCTTTGAGACTTCGCTTCGAATCCATTATGAAAATGTCACTGCAATCTCTGCTGAGGCTGTTGATGCTAGCGGCAAATCACTTCGACACACCGGGATAGCTCTTGTGGAACAAGAGGTCAAGCCATTGGGAAAGGTACCTCAACTTCCTATTGCTGAAACGAAGGCTCAGAAACCAGTTTCGAGTGAGAATAGTCGTTGGAAAGAATACGGCATTTTGAAGTACATTCGGCTTCGAATCAATAAGCTCTAAGCTCAACTACATGGGGTGTCGCTACTATCGGACAAGATGTAACCTAGATAGATCTCTCAGCCTTCCGGATGCAAGTCAAAGAAGTATATTCGGACAGCCTTGTCTTAATCTACTAGAGAGATGAGGACTTCGTATTTTCAGGAGGATTCACGCTCATTTGAGGATTGGTCACATCCAGTTAATACACACTCGTTTCGTTGACTGCGTTATCCGCGCTTTTGAATGATACTTACGCCTCCACGAAAATGGGCAATTCTTCTTCAATTATTAGTTATCTCAGGTTATTTCTCTCTTTAACTAGTTGAATTGAAGCCGAATGGATATTGGCGTGTTGACTATCAAAGGGGCTAACCCTTACGCGGAAATTGCTAATTATGCTACTCAACAGGCGGTGGCATCTAAAGGAATTCCCTCGTAAAAAGATACCTCTAAATTCGAAGCGAGGCGAGCCCAATACATACTTGATTCAGGTAGAAATTGCTGGGGTTGAATAAAGATAGGGCATCGTGGTTGTCGTAGAACTTTACCCCGGTGTTGTAGGAGCGTAAAAGAAGGAGGATTTTGTGCTAATACGAGATGGCTATCGAAATTGATTGAGTGTTTTCCAAAGACTCGCGAGCCGGTGTGCATTGTTGACAATCATACCCTCTGCCAAGAGACACACCGATAAATAGCAAATGCATTATCCTTGGGCCAATTATTTTAGAATGATGATCAGCTGTAAAATAAGTCTACCCAATGTGGCTGCACTTGTGGCCTCATTGTCAGCTTGGGGATACACGGTCGTATCATCATCCAATACGGCGTAGCAGTATAGCTTGGTCCCTGTAATATACACAGATACTTACATAGATACTCTTGAAAAACTCGTATGAACCAAATTTTCTTCAAAAATGAGCTTAGCTTATAATTATGCAAAAACTAATTATCCAGTAAAGACCGTAGATGATCAGATTCATAGACGAAGAACGGGCGAAAGACGAAATTCGGCATATCATTTCGCAGGACATAGTCTTTTCTAGAATGCTTCCAGAATCTAAGCCTCTCTGCGGAAACGCCAAAAATAGATTTGAACGTTAAGGTTAAATGGGCTTGCTACTACGTTGCAACAGCTGTCCAACCAATCTGCAGCTTATTCGCTAAGACGGGCCACGCTGGCTAGTCTCTGGTATATGTATGTACCTATGCCGAGACCATAGCTCAACAGCTTATAGGGCTGCGGCCGACGATCATTGCCGTGCGGGGAGGAGCTGTAAACGGATGGGGCTACATTCCAAGTTCCAAGATCACCATACGATGTCCCGACAGTCCCGTGCCACCCGCACAAAGAAAGTCCGGGGTTGCTGAATACGAACATGAGCCGCACACTTGCCGTTACATTCACTAGCTATGTATTCAGGAAATCAAGATTCAAAGTCTCTTGATAGATCTCGCGCTGTCCCCGTCATGTGACTATGGAAAGACGAACGAAAGACCCGCTACGTCAATACGAGCTTCAACCAGAGGATCTCTTTGATGGCTGAGTCGAATAGGGGATGGCGAAACTCGCCCGTCCCGCTGATAGGTCGACAATACGGAATAACTAGATATGATGATGATGGTTCTTGGACAATTCTGTATATAAAGCTTGCGAACCTCCTGCCAATATGCTTCTATCTCATCACTATCACCATCACCATCACCATCAACATCATCATCACAACTACAAAACACTTTACTCACTCAACCAATCACTACGACTTTTAGTCTTAATACCTAAATCTTAAAAACAACATCTCAACCGCCACCATGAAGTTCACCAGCACCGCCGTCGCCGCCATCTTCGCCGCCACCGCCATGGCAGCTCCCACCCCCTCTCCTGAGGCCAAATCCGCAGTGGCCGACGTCCCCGAGTGGACGATCGAGAGCCTGAAGCGCGGCTGCAACGCCGCCAACACGCAGTGCATCTGGACCTTCAGCATCAACACACACCTAGCCGACCCGACTCCCTGCGAGTTCACCGTCAAGGGCGTCAACAACGTCCCCGCCAGCGAGACCGACAGCAGCGGCAACATCTGCGGCCCCTTCACCGTCGGTTCCGGCTGGAGCGGCCAATTCGGCCCCGGCAACGGCTTCACCGTCTTGAGCGTCGTCGACGAGGCCAACAAGCTGATCGCCTGGCCCTCGTACACCGACAAGGCGCTCGAGGGCAATGTTGTTGTGTCCCCTGACCTGAGCTGGCCTGTTACTTCTCTCCAGTTCTAAGCTGTTGCGGACAGTAGGCAGGAGAGCGTTGGAGATGAAGGTGGAGGTGGAGAAGAGGAAGAAAAGTGTCATGTTCACGCGGAAATATAAATATAATTGTTCAATGTTAATAGCATAGCGTCACCGGGTTTGCATATGGGTACATCATAATACATAGCGTCACTCCTTATTCATCTTAAGCCTCGAGCCTAACTACTTGTGAATGATTCATTTTTCCTTGTTTTCGTTTAAGCTAATTTCCCCTTGCTCTCTTTAAGCATCGTAGTATCCGCAAGCCAACGGCAGCCAGCCAACAACATATATAGGATATAGGTGGGATAAGCTATATTAATTAAAGTCACGCTGCTAAATACAAAGTGCTGACCCTCCTTAGTCCCAATCGGCAAAGGGGTCAGCCTTGTAGGCGTTCCTCGCAGACTGGAATCTCTCCTTGAATCTGAACGAGGTCAATATTGCGGCGAAGATGATCTCGTACTGCCAGTAGAACATCTCGTGGGATCGTAGCCAGGTATCCAGTATATCATCGCTACCGCTAATGCCGTCTTTTTGCTCGTCGGAGTCGCATTCCGCATGTGCCCTCGTCTTGGGAATCGCAGGGAGGAAAGGTTGCGGGAGGTCTTGAGCTTCGTCGGATTCGGATTCCTCCGCTTGTGTGTGCTCTTCGTCGTCCACAAGATAATTCACTAATGAGCTTACGTCCGAGTCATCGGAACTGGAGGTTTCTGTGTCCGACAAGCTCGCTTCTTGGTCGTCCACGGGACAGTCAACTGAAAAGCTTCCGTCTGCTGTATCGGGATCGTCGCTTTCTGTTTCTGGGGAGGCCTTTTCTTCCTTTGATACTGTATGTAGCGCGGATGTTTCTAGTTTCGATACCTCGGAAGATGACTGTTTCTCTATCTCGCTTTCTATATCTTCTGATGGCTTTTCCGGTGCTTCTAGCTTAACCGGAGGTACTATGTCGCCTGAACTTAGCACCGACGTCCCTGGTTCATCTGTAGGTGCTTTTTTCTGAGGGTCGGTGTTATCGTCTTGAGAATCCCCTTGTTCATCATTCTGATTGGCATCATCTGTGAGTGTTAGGAATCCATCCTCGTCGTATATTTCGATATTGGATGTTGATTGCCTACTCTCTGAAGAACTAGCATCATTTTTAGTGCCGAATGATTCAACGTTGTTGTATACGTCTTCGAAGAACGCCTCAACGCTGGTGTATTCTCCTTGGATTATGCACTCCATGTCGCATTTGGTGATCCTTCCGGTCTGGACGAGCCGCTCTAGATACCGCCTCGTAATCGGCCTAACCCTCTTCATTATCCTCTCGACGAAGATCTCATCAGGTGGGAGCTCGATCTCAGACGTGTTCATTGCCTCACGCAGCTGTTCGATTGTGATACCCAAGTGATCGAGGTAGTATCTGCGCGTTTCCTCGAAAATATCCCTGAGCTTCGGGTCGCCATCTTTGAACATGTTTACATCATCTTGGATACGATCTTGAATCAAGGCCAGCCCTCTGATCCGTTTGCGAAGTTGAATAATTAATAGGTGAACTCGATTAACATCCATGTTGGGAGATGCTTTTTTCCACGGTGGTTTAGTTTGTTTGTACTTTTTTTTGGAAGCCTAGAATACAGGTGGCAGGTTGCGGTTAGAATTGAAAGTTCACTTTAAAAATAAAAACAGGGTAAGAAGATGAACCTTTTTGCTTGTAGAAAATGATTTACTCGAATGGTGTTTTGATTGCATGCGCTTATGAATACAATTGGACATTGCTTCTTGGAATATTTATTGAAATATTTATTACTACTCAACGATAAGATCGACATTGTTTGTGAGGACTATGGGACAATAGCTTTGTTTATTTATATCTGAATAAAGTAATTTCAACTCAAAGACCAAGCGGACGATTCGTATTCCAGACAAGTCTTTATGTTCTGGGTTTTGATTATAGAGACCTTTTTCTTTCTCCCACCGCCTAGTATCTTCATTACCTTAACATGATAGACTCTGCCAGATTATTGTTGCAGTATTGTCCTAGACAAAATTATCTATCCGATCCGGAGAACTGAACAGTAAGGATTTGACGCTATTACGCTAACGTTGATCTTGGTTTTCATTTGACTCCTAGACAAAGGTCAAAGTATAATGCTCCGGCTGTGAGGCCGAGGTGTTCCTGCAATATTCTTGTTCGGATAGTGAAAGAGCAAAGGATATCATAATAAATACACTTTACGAAGTAGCAGAAAGTTCTCGTGATATATGTAAGCTTCGGGGATGGTGAAGGGTAGCTTCTTTATTAAGGAGGCAATGTATAAAAAATGGACAAAGCTTTGTGCGTTGAAGCTTTGCGAAGGGCCAAAAGGAAAACAAACACACAATTAATCAACATGTTTTCCACGATATCTGTAACATGATGTTTTATCAATGATATTTGTTTGCTGTTATATTTTGCATTTTCGAATTTTGCATTTTCGAATTTTGCATTTTCGAATTTTGCATTTCTGGTTGGCTTAGATATTGAAATAGGGGGAACCAAGTCAGGGGTTACTTCATGCGTGAATCATTTTTGTTGACCCACTTAATGTCTCCTCGGTACGGAATAGAACTCCGTTTAGTATGATATTAGTTTATCGGGTTTGGTGAGTTATGCATTATCGTACAGTCACAATCATTTCTGAAGTGTCAACCATATCAACCCCATATCAACCTATCAACTTCATAAACAAGAATCACTGACGCAATACCTCAAACTGTGTGCAAGATATATGACGATATTTATTCACTTAATATCTACCAATGCGTTTCTTAATGTATCTCATATAAGGAAAACCTGCTGCGAGTGACGTTTCATGTCCCTCTACTCCTAGCAGTCTGGATCCAGGCCAAGCCATTTGATATAATCCAAAGAATTGGTGGGGCTTTTACAGCGCGTTTAACTCGCTAAAGTCTTGGGCTGAATCAGGTTCGCTGGGTCACTATGAGACGTCACAGATGCTAACACCACGCGATTCACTAGTAGTACTTCTGCCGGTTTATGTGTTGTTTGCTGACTTCTCTCCCCTTTTCCGGGTTTCTACCTACACATTGCTGCAATATTGGGATTACTAACATCCTTCTTGCTTTGATCTTCAACTAAACCTACCATAAATATCATTCATAGGACGTGAGCGTGTTTTTGCTTGTGTGGTTTTGTCGTGAATAACATCGTCATGGCAGAGACAGTACCCCTCCCTCCGAGCGAATCGCTCCACCAAGCTGGAGGCGGTGCCGAAGATATTACTATCAAAGAGATAAGGACATCTATATTGCAATACCTGGACCAGATTTACGCTACATATGCTTCTCCTGCCGACAAGCACTGGAATAGGGACTCTATCGTCGAATTCTTACATCATGTCCAAGCCGATAAAGTGACAAACCCCTCAGGCGATGTCGCGGCCCGGGACTCCCTCGACTTTGCTGGTTTCTTACAATATATGACATCGTCCGCAGCCAACGCGCTGGCGCCGGCAGACTTAGACCCCCAGCATCTGTCGTGGCCCTTGGCTAGCTATTATATCAGCTCCAGCCATAACACCTACCTGACTGGAAATCAGCTGAACAGTGATTCCGACGTGGATGCATACCGGAACGTCTTGCTGCGCGGCTGCCGCTGTGTCGAGATTGACGTCTGGGATGGTGATGAGTCCGATGTCGACACATCAGGTAGTTCAGACAGCTCCGAGGATGATGAAGCTCGGGAACTTAAGGCCAAGAGAAAGATGAGCCGCAGCGAGAAGCTCGCCTCAAAATTACCCGGGTCGCTGGCTAACCGGCTCGAGAAGACATCAATAGGAAAGCGTATCACCGGGAAGAACTCAGCAGACCAAGAGTCTACGGCGGAGAAGAAGGAAGGGAATCCCTCCATCGGAGCCCCGCTAGAGAAAACGCTGAGTCCGCCAGCAATCGCCGTCGAACCCCGGGTTCTGCACGGCTATACACTTACTAAAGAAGTCTCATTTCGCGAAGTCTGCATGGCTATCAGAGAAAGCGCTTTCGTTGTCACTGACCTGCCGCTGATCGTCAGCCTCGAAGTTCATTGCAGCCAGGAGCAGCAGGAGGCTATGGTGCGTATTATCAACGAGGTCTGGGCCGGCTTTTTATTGCCCCAACTCGAAGACGACGCGAAGTTTCTCCCCGCGCCCGGTGATCTGCACCAAAAGATCCTCGTTAAGGTCAAGTACGCGCCGCCTAACGCTCTCGCATCGGCAGCCGATGTGGAATCTGCAGATCAGCTTCCGCCCGGCGCCGCATCGGACCCCAAATCGAAAACTACTGCACAGCAAAAGGTCAAGAAGGCGTCTAAGATTATCCAGGCATTATCGGTACTGGGCGTGTATACGCGAGGCGTATCATTCAAATCCTTGTCCCAGCCAGAGGCTTCCATGCCGACACACATATTCTCGCTATCAGAAAGCGGCGTAGCCGATGTCCACCAGAACGAAGCGGCAAGGCTTTTCGAACATAACCGCGAGTACCTGATGAGGACATATCCGTCCGGCATGCGTATCGGGTCTTCAAACCTAGACCCCCTTGCTTTCTGGAGGAAGGGCATCCAGATCGTGGCGCTCAACTGGCAGAAGTGGGATGAGGGAATGATGTTAAACGAGGGGATGTTCGCCGGCACCGGTGGATACGTATTAAAGCCCGAAGGATACCGCGGTCGGAAACCCGTAGTTATCGACGGCGAAGAGAACATGGCGGCACCCGTCCCCGCGTCGGGGACAATCCTGCACCAGACACTTACCCTCACCATCACCGTGCTCGCAGCGCAGAACTTACCGATGCCTGAAAAGGACGATAAGGAGAGCGGATTTAAACCATACGTCAAGATCGAGCTGCACACAGAGCCGCCGCACGACGAACACCTCTCCCTAACTGGCACCGCCGCAGGCTCTTCGTCAACGAGGGCCAAAGAGGGCGAGTACAAGGCGCGCACAAAGACGCAGCGCGGCATCCACCCGGACTTCAAGTCCGAGAAGCTCGCCGTAGCCAAAGGTATCCCTAGCGTCGTATCTGAGTTAGCTTTCGTACGGTTCCTAGTCAAGGACGACGAGATCGGCCGCGATGACTTGGCTGCTTGGGCTTGCATTCGGCTGGACCGGCTACGCAGCGGATACCGATTCGTGCACCTCTACGATAACCATGGACGAGAAAGCGAGGGTGTGCTACTCGTCAAGATAGAAAAGAAACTGGCTTAGGCGGCGAGTTCCAAGTCTCGAGGAGGCGAAACGGGGGAGGTGAAAGGACGTCGCTTTGGACAATGCCAAATAATGTAGGAACGATATGAATGGGACCATATGTGTATAGGACGACCTGGCATGATAGCATTGGCGAGAGAACATATTTATCAAGCGAGAGCATAGTTGGCTGTAGATTGAAAAGGAATTTGAATGTATTTGCGACCTCTATAAAGCAAATGGTATCTCCTAAGATAAACACATGCGTCTTGCTAATTACCATTACCCCCAAACGCCGATCTCATACCAGTTGTTCACCATATACTTATGTATTTAGGTAGTCATATATCTCATAGCTCCGGCTCAACCATGCTGTGGTTATCCGTAGTAGAGATGAGATTTATAGTTCTCCAAGCGCCGTCATCCTTCATGTTAGCCCGAGCTGCTCGAAAGGCGCGCAACCTAGTCTCGTATGCGTAGTCGGATATCTCTGGATCCTGAGAGTCCTGGAGGTTTAATTTGCTTTCTTCCTCGTCGTCTTCGAGCTGTGTATCTCGGCCGTCTTGGAAGAAATTATAGTTGCGTTTGTTTTTGTACGAATAAAAGGAGGCCTGTACCATCTGCGCCTGGGGAGTCTGCGAATAGCGGTGTGGTGACGATATGTTAGGACTCTGATTTCGTAATTGGCCTCTCGTGGGTGAAAATCCTACGGATATATGGTCTATACCAGTGGACGTATGGTACTGAAGGGCATCAGGTGATGAGATTGTTGGGCTAGTGAGATTTCTTGTCCGAGAAGCAGCCGTTGACTGAGTCTCAGGTGCATTTCCCCCGTCTTCGCGCAACTTTGGTCGCAGCTCCGATACTTCGCCCATCAGCAAGTCATGTTGGAATACATCACCAGTGCAGATATCTCCGAAAAGAATTTTTATGGAAATACCCTCTTCTGCCCAAGATTTCGGATCTACCGTGCATGGCCAAATATCGGCAGGCTTGAAAGTCTCAATAAGATGTCGAAGTTCGGGCAAAGAAGAATGCCTAGCGTATGGGAATGCGATTTGGTTCGTAAGGACGTCAGGATGGTCTTCTACGATCTTGCTTACCGGATTTCGGATTTCTTCAACTCTCCTAGTAAGTGAGTTAACTATTTCTGCGAAGGAATACTCTTCCTTGAAGCTAAATCTCCCAATATCGAGATCGACGTCTCTAGAAACATCTAGTGCTTTCTGAAGGAATTGCGTAATCGTAGGCTCTAAATCACCTAGTACCTCTCCTTTGTATTTGACCCTGCTTGATTGTCAATTCATAAAGAATAGAAGGGCAGTTTGGGAAACCCTTACAATTGTAACAAAGCTCGAATGCCCTCCCTTTCAAGGGTTGGTTTCTGTGCCAGGTCGTCCCCGCCTCCACCAATACCCACTTCAACCATGTCTTGCTCATTCTTAAGATGCGCGACAATTGGCTGGATCCACATGATCGGTTTGGTCTCCAGAACTTTACAGCCCATACCTTTCTCACAGCTATGAATTCGCACATTTTCGTCTAGCGTCAGACACCCCTCCCGTTGGGTATTACCGCAGGTGAAGCCTACAAGATATGGAGCTTCCTTAGTCAAGTGAGTTTGATCAGCGTAGCGATTGTCTGATGATTTGATGGCAAGGGATTTATAAACGCCCATCTTGTACTTATCGACATGAATCTTGAAGCGTGGTTAGCAATGTCACTAGTCACAAGAGAGAGGATTGTACCTTAGAGTCTAGAGCTTTCGATAAGGCAATCCAGACCTCTTCGTATCTGCGAAAGATATTAGATTATATAAGACTAATAAAATCCACAACCTACCCGTAAGTCCATGCTTGCATGTGGAATATAGTATCCTTTGGATAGCGTGCAACCTTCTCCAGAAGTTCGCGGAGCCCATCCGCCTTAGTCTGTAGAGGGAAATTGCTCAATATCGAAGTATCGAGATATATACGGTCAAGCGTTTTCAGTCCCGTAGAGTACTCTACCATACTAGGGTTTCTAGCAATAGAATTTACCCACCAAGGCTCGCTCCTAATGTCTCCTGTGTATAAGACAGCGTTGCCATTGCCTTCAAACACTGTCCACCGAGTTAGTAATAGGTCTAATATAGCAATAGCTGACATACGGAACATAACTGCACCAGCACAGTGGTTTGCATCTAGAAGTGTAACTTGTATGGTCTGGGTAGGATCTAACTCGATCTTGGTGGGGGTATCCAGAGGAATGGGCTTTAGTATTTTGGCTAAATGCTTATATGTTTGCATTCGTGGATCCTCGAGTATTCCTTTAAAAAAGCTCAGTCGACAAGGATACTTTTCAAGTCGGAGCAAGATTTCCCTTGTGGCAGCCGAACAGTAAACACTAGATTATACCCAGTGAGCTAACTGATAGGTGAGTGACATGTATGATTCATACAAAGGACTTCTAAGCGTATCGAGTCCGGCGAGATGATCGCTATGAACATGGCTTAAGAAACAAGCCAGCGGAGGCCGGAGGTTGAATTTACGGAAGAAGTCAACTCTAATATTAGGGAATTCGTGAATGATGCCATCGAAAGTTGACATTGTAGCTGACAGGGGGTAGACCGAAATACTATGAAGCAGTGCCCGCTCGAGAATTTATAAGTTGCTTGATTAAACATGACAACTTTCGAAATGGGTACTTAAGATTTAAAAAGTCAGGTTCAAGTTTTACTAGCAAAGACGCTTAATATTGAAGAGACGTGGTTTATGAAGGTAACTACCTGGAAGGTACCTACCTACGTTGGAACCTTCAGGTAAGGAGGTAGGTACCCGTAGCCTTAGGCCAGGTGGCTGACACCTGCCGAATTCCAGGTAGATTTTAAAAGCAGATTAGGTACCTAGGTACCTAACTTCAGGGCTAGAACTCCGATTCTAGCGAGCATTTTAGAACAATACACTCTCCTAATATCATCAACAATACCATAAAACATCTTTCAACGTACATCAGGTATTCGAAAGACTCATTTGACAACATTATACAACTCTTTCAACATAATTATCTCACCAATTGGATATTGGATGCTAAATTGTTAAGGTCATCAGGAAGCGTTCCTCTACGGATCAGGATGTTCGTGAGGCGGAGTCGACGCGAAAAATGTAATACGGCTCCAAAAGTGCAGATACGGCGTATTCATACCCGTCGCATTGCAGATTATGTCGGCCGTAGAACCTTTAGTATAAAAATCGGCTGCTGAAATCATATTGCTCTTGTATCTTTCAAATATTCTCCCGACCAAGAATAACCTAACTTTCGAAATAACGACTCGCCGCGTTGCGGGAAAATCAGCATGGCAGAATCCATTGTCATATCTTCCCCGCCTAGCGAAAATCAGACCGGGAATAAACTGAAAATTACTTTTACAGGACCGCAAGAAACGCTGATAGGGCCGCTAGTAGCGAGAGCCACGGACGCAAGATCTGATAATCCTATCCTTAACGATGTGGACTCCATTCGGGTTATAGATCAGATTGACCATGACTTCGACAAATTCGGCGTGAATGAAACACATGCTATTATGTATGCTCTTCGAGCCCTGCGTTTAGATGGTTGGACTACCGAGTTCCTCTCAAACAACCCGCAAGCGACGGTCGTTCACTTGGCCTGTGGGTTAGACGATCGTTTACGTCGCGTCCAAGCAGACTTAACCAAGGTCCGTTGGATAGATCTCGACCTACCCGATGTCGTTGAACTGCGCAACAAGCTCATTCCCCATCCGGAGGGCGACTACCGGCTGATCGCCGCAGACGCGACTGAAAAAACGTGGCTCGAGCAGATCCCTGTTGACCGTTCCACCGTCATCATCTGCCAGGGGTTAACTATGTTTCTGGAAGAAGAGTCTGGTAAACGCATGATTCGGCAAATTATTGACCACTTCAAATCGGGCCAGTTTATCATCGATCATATCGGTACCGTATTGCTCTCTTTGCAACACCAAGTCGATACCCTGGTAGCTACAGGGTCAAGTTTCAAGTGGGCCATTGACGAGCCGAAGAGCCTGGAGGCTCTTCATCCGCAGTTGAAGATGGTGGACTGTTTAGGACCAACCGAACTTGGTGATCACGTATTCTTGCCGCTTGGGACTCGTCTAATGCTGTCAACTTATTTAGATTTACCTTGGCTAAAGTACATCTCTTCCTACATGCGGCTCAATTTCTAGAGGTAGCGATGCATAGCCTGCTGTTTTGAAACCTTTGATCATATATTTTTAGACTCGTTCTAAAGCAGAAGATTTCTGATGGAAGAATTATACATCTCGTACTCTTTCCCAGCGAAAGAGAGCTTACGAAACTATGTTAGATACCCTAGATTTTAGGATACGTAGCTTGGACATATTAGACGCTACTCATTCTGTTTGTCAATAGACCTCTCCACAGCTCCCAGTACGACTTTTAACAGGGCATCGGGTGATAAAGCACCTATCTTTCCACCCCATGTCGTTGTATCAACGATGTCTCTGATATCAAATGCGTCACTCAATCCGTCGTCTGCGAAGTCCAATGCTTGGCGTGCACCTTCATCGTCGCCTACGCGAAAGAACTGCACACCGACCTGATACGGTGGCGCGCCTAATACATCCAGCTTCCGTGCCGTTCGAATCAGCGTGCCGTACGGATTATCATCCGTCACGCCGGCGGTGATCACAATAAGATTGAGCGGCCTAACGGTATTGCCCGACCCGGTACCCCTGCCTCGGCGGCTTCGTTCATATTCATGTACATATTGGTCAAGTATATAGCTAAGCCGATGATCGAGGCGGCAGTGGCTTCCAAATTTCTTAATGCTGCCGAAAATTCCCGCCACGTTGTCACGCATCTGTGGCACTCCGACTGACTGCCCAATGTGTAGGTACCCGGAGCGGTCTGCATCGAATCCGAGAGCTGCATACATGAGGTAACCGCGCGGGCGGTGGTTCACAAAGTAGATATCTACGCCGTTTGGATCGCGCTCTGTGCATATCGGCGCAATCTTCTCAAGCAGCATGCCGACTTCGCCCCAGTGCTTTTCCATCGACTTGGAGTCGTCGATAAGGAAGATGGTGTCGAAATGCTTTAGGAATGCGTAAGGGTCATCGGGTGTGCTGATATGCTTGCGTGTCAGTTTCGCAGGGTATTTCTTATGCTCGACTGGTTTTGCTGATCCTTTTGGCTTCAGATCGGGGCTTGCTGGGATTGTCGATTCTAAGGGGTATGGAAGGGATGATTCAAGACGCTTGTCTACGTGGTCCATGATGATAGATGCGACTCGCTCTTGGTTATAGTAGGTAAATCAGAGAAGATAATGATTTACGTGCCCAAGTACACATTAATCAGCGTATCTGCTTTAGGTTGTAGGTATATTGAGGAAATAGTTTGATCTTGGGGTTTATTAAGGGAAACTTTGAACTACCTAACGAAAGGAAACACCTTCTAGCAGTTGGGATCGCAGTGGCTTGCTTTAAATACGTTAGGTACGTTAGGTACCTAGGGTAACTACTTCATATCCTAATGACCTTTCAAACAAAAGATAAATGTTTACAATTACTGACTCATATAGCGTTGAGCTGATTTGCTTTCGTGTAAATGAACACAATTGATATATTCAATCACCCCCTCTGGACTACTCATTAAGTAAACCTACTTGTAATCATTTTCCACTCTATATTTTGAGTCTTTATTACATATATTGGTCTTTGTTCACTTCAATTCATCAATGACAATTTTAGAACTGACTTATGATTAGTGATAAAGGGAGTTCTGTAAAGGGGGAAAAGTGGGAAAGAAAAGGGGAAAAGGAAACTTTCGTATATACCGTGATGCTTCTGTAACCTTGTGGCATTCTAGAGCTATATTCATCATTTTCACATTCATTACTAAACCTTCCAGACTGGGTACCCAAAGTGGTGAAGTTTCCTTACCCTTACGAGATGTCATTTCTATCTGTCAAAAATGCTTTCAGATCTCAAACCATGACCAAGGATAAGCTGTTAAAGAGCGCCCATGGGCTGGATGTGGCATTGGACTGTGTCACCCACTTCGAATCTCTTCAGGACAGAGGAGGGTACGACTGCCGCAAGCAGTTCCCATACGAGTTGTATAAAAAAGGGGTTCAGAAGAAGCTCATAGACATATGGATGGCAGATGCACCTAGTGTTCGTGTACTCGACGGCGTGGGTTACAACTACTCGGCGAGTTATGCTGGAAGCGAGTTCGCCAAGTCCCTCCGCGTGCGTAACCGCGAGAGTGCCATCGTTCTCCGGGTGCACGTAAAGAATCCAAGCGAAACCCCGAAGATAGTGTTACTTCAGATCCTTGGCTCGCTGATCTGGAGCTTGATTACTCTCGTGCCCGATGAATTTAGCACCTCGGAAGGCCTGCATAAAAGGAAATTTGAGACGTTTGTAGGTCGCGGACCTGGCAGCTTGGATGCTGGCTTGGGAATACTTCAATCATTGCCAATCCTGCAACTTGACGGCAAGACAATGCTTTGCGTCGTTGATGGTTTGGATCTTGCCGAGGACGAGAGTACCTTGAGCGAATTGAAACAATTAGTTACTATTCTTCGCGACGTCATGGCAAAGAATCGCGCTCATTTACTTTATACGCTTAGTAAGGGGAGCGAAGTAATTCGGTAGCTATAATTGTTAGGTAGATATCCAGTTAGCATTGAAGCTCTTAATTGGTGAGAATTGTTTTGGTGATATGGAACTCAGATGCATGGTGGTTTATAGCAAGGGTCAATCCATACAGCGGATAGATACATAACTTGACATACCTTATTTGACTTGGGTTATTTGATTTAGACTTGTATCCATGGAGCTGTGTCTCTCTTTTCCGTGCTCTCTCTTTTTCATAAACTGGGTAATCTTAACGGTAATTCATCTGTTTGCTTCGAATACCCACATTCTCGTATTACTCGAGTCGGGATGAGATAATTGCGGTTGAGAAGGTCGAATACTTTGATCCGGCAGTTCGGATCTAGATCCTAACGATGCGTATCGCTGCGTTGTTGTTGGCCAGCATTTATTGCCAAGCTGGGAGAACATCCAAATATGAACTGTTCCTGGCTGCCAAGGTAACAAGGGGGCAAGCCGCAAGCCTCGTGAGCTTTCTACATTCCTAAGGAGGAAAGGCGACAAAGATAGCCAAGAAGCTTTGGCGAAATTCTGGGTTGGCAATCCCTTTCCCCGCGGTAGCATCATGCTATGGCGGTCGGCAACAATTTGCAATTCGCAATTTATGTACGCGTCAATCGCGAGCGAGCTATACCCATTGATAAACAATAGTATAAAAGGGTAGTGGTGCCCTCCTATTCATATACCGCCATGATCTCAACCGCTTTTCTTTCCTCCTTTATACGGGCCTAGAACTTGGTTTCCATCCTCTAAGCCGTTGGTGTCAATAGTTGGAACATTCCGCCCCAATTAGCCAACAATGGAGCTCACTGCTTGGCTTATCGTGGGGGCGACGTTGGTGCACTCCGTGCTCGCCATTGAGCCGGCGCGCCAACCGCATCAGCCAACTGGAAATGGCGACAAAATCCTGACATGGAATGAAACGATGGTGAATAACCAATTCGGTGCCAGGTCTACATCTGTCAGTTGGTTATCTGGCGGCGAGGATGGGCAGTACATCTATGCTGGCGATGGCGGGGCGCTGATCCTTGAGAATTTTGTCACCGGCGAGAGCTCGACCTTCGTTGCTGCCGACCTGATCCCAGACGGCGTAGCTGAGTATTGGATCCGTCCAGACCTCGCCAAGGTCCTTTTCGCAACTAACTATACGAAACAATATCGCCATTCATATTTCGCGGACTATTCAGTTCTCGATGTAGCTTCGGGCGAGCTAACACCCTTGGTTGAGGACCAGGTCGGCGATATTCAGTATGCCGAGTTTGCTCCAGCAGGAGATGCGATTGCCTTTGTTCGTGGAAATAACCTGTTCCTGAATAAGAATGGAACTATTTCTCAGATTACAAGCGACGGTTCTCCAGATCTATTCAATGGAGTGCCAGACTGGGTATACGAGGAAGAAATATTTGGCGATCGCTCCGCAATCTGGTTCTCTCCGGACGGCGAGCTTCTCGCGTACCTCAGCTTCAACGAAACTGGAGTCGAAACTTTTACCGTGCAGTACTTTATGGATAACCAAGAGATCGCTCCCGTGTATCCTCGACTTCTGGACTTGAGATATCCCAAAGTAGGCACGACTAACCCAACAGTGTCCTTGACGCTTCTCAATGTCGATAGTGAGGAGAAATCGGCCGTTCCAATCGATGCATTCCCTGCGGATGATCTAGTAATCGGTGAAATCGCTTGGGTTACATCTGAGCATAGTAGCGTTATATACCGTGCTTTCAATCGTGTTCAGGACACCTCTAAACACGTCCGAGTCGACGTAGGCGATGCTATCACTACTAAAGTCGTCCGCGAACGAGACGGCACAGACGGTTGGCTGGATAATGACATAGGCATCAAATTCGTCGGGCCAATCAATGGTTCTACAGAAGAATATTATATTGATGTTTCGGATGAGTCCGGCTGGCAACATATTTACCTCTACGAGGTTGATGGCTCAAGCGCTACTCCGCTCACCCAGGGCGAGTGGGAGGTAACAGCCGTTCTGAAAGTCGATAACAAGCGCGAATTAGTTTACTATACATCTACCCAAGCCGACAGTACTGAGAGGCACGTGTACTCGGTTTCATACTCTACTTTGAAGTCGGAATCGCTTGTCGATGATACGATCCCGGCGGTCTGGAGCGCCTCATTCTCATCTGGTGGTGGATATTATATCCTTAGCTATTCAGGGCCCGATGTACCTTACCAGGAGTTGTACGCCATTAACGACACCCTGACACCCCTTCGCACTATCACCTCGAACGACGCTCTCTGGAATAAAATCCAAGGATATAACTTACCAAACATTACATATTTCACTTTGGATCACCCTGACGGATACAGTTTGAACGTCTTGCAACGACTTCCCCCCAACTTTGACCCCGCGAAAAAATACCCAGTTCTCTTCACGCCCTATGGGGGACCGGGGTCGCAGGAGGTATCGAAGTCTTTCGAGTCGGTTGGATGGAACGCGTACATCTCGTCGGACCCAGAGCTTGAGTTTATTCAATATACAATTGATAACCGTGGAACAGGCTATAAGGGCCGGAAATTTCGTGCGCTCGTCGCGTCCCACTTGGGCGAGTTCGAGGCGGCAGACCAGATATGGGCAGCGCAGGAACTAACTTCTCGAAATTCTTTCATTGATGCGGAGAAGGTTGGAATTTTCGGATGGTCGTTTGGCGGATATCTATCTGCAAAAGTAGTGGAAGCGGACTCGGGCGTTTTTACCCTGGGCCTGATAGTCGCACCAGTCACTGACTGGCGATTCTACGACAGCATGTACACGGAGCGCTATATGAAGACATCGCAACTAAATCCGGACGGATATAACAAGACAGCGATACGTAAGCCAGACGGGTTTAAAAATATCGCCGGCGGGTTCTCTATCCTGCATGGCCTCGGAGACGACAATGTGCATTACCAGAACACGGCAGCTCTTCTTGACCTTCTTGTTGGGGCCGGCGTGTCGCCTGCCAAGATGCAATGGCGAGTTTTCACGGACAGCGACCACGGTATTTCGTATCACGGTGCATCGACATATTTGTACAAATTCTTGACCGAATTGTTGTTTCGGGAGAAGACACGAACGAGTCAGACCCTGGCACACCAATGGGCAAGGAGGTCGGGGTCGCAGGTTTTAGATGAGCGATGAATGCTCAGTTATAACGCCAGACTCTAACCTTGGCCTCTATTAAGAGGAATTAGGTAGTTAATAATTATAATAAGCAAATGCTATATTCATTGAAATGTGTTTCTGGATGTTGGATTACAACCAAACTTCTTGACCGCAAGCCCCTTTTTTACCATTTACAAATTTGCAACTCAAATATTTTTCTCCATACCCTTTCTAAGTCTATAATTTCTGTCGTAACTATAGTATAGAAAAGCCATTGAATATATTCTACTTGTTTTAAGCTTTTATATAATACCTGTGTAGATACATACCTCTTTTCTACCCCTAAAAGGTAACATGTACACGAGCCGAAACTTAGGTGATCTTAGGTAAATTGGGGTAAATGTGCAACCAAATTCTATGTTAAGCTTTTAATTCTATAATTCGATAGTATACATGAATATAAATAAGAAAAAGATGGAATGAAAATTCGCGAAAAGTAAAGAAAGAAAGAAAGAAAGAAGAAATATATACAAGAAATATTTTGTACAATGAGCCTTGTGATCTGACAGGTAGGTCTTTACGCACACCCAAGAGCCCAGCTCCTCTCCGGTGCATATAATTACCTCGCTCGATGGCACCTATCCAAAACGAGGAATCATGATAGAAGATCTGGAATACCCTCACCTTCCGTTGGCGTGTTCGTAGCAGGGAAAGTAACATTCGATCTCCTCTAGCTTTTCCTCGTTGTCACCATTATTACCACCTCCACTGGCACCTCCTCCAGTATGGCCTCCAGAACTTCCTCCGGAATGACCCCCTGAACCCTTTTGGCTTCCACTACCTTTCTGGCTTCCGGTACCCGTCTGACCTCCGGCGTGAGTTCCGCTATTTTGGCCTGACGAGCCCCCGGGAGCAGGTCTGATGGGAAGTGAACCATGGCTTGAGGTGCCCTTTTCCTTTCCCTTTCCCTTTCCCTTTCTGCCGGTTCTCTTGGTCTTTTTCTTTCCATCTTTCTTGCCGTCCTTCTTGTTATCCTTCTTGCTATCCTTTTTACCACCGTTACTACCATCGCTACTACCATCGCTGTCGTCATCTTTCTTGTCATCCTTCTTCACAGTCTTTTTAACAACAGCACAATAAGCCCTGGAGCTGCCTGTTTTTGATTGCGTGGATGAGCCGGTAGCGGGCCCTTTACCCGTTCCTGTAGACTCGGTGTCCCATTCGAACCAATTTGGATTCTGCTTTTCACTAGGAGCATACTCGAACCCAATCTTCGAACCGATAGTGCCGGTAATCTTGAGTTCCAGGTCCTTCGGTAATCCCTTAAGTTTGTGAGATTTATTTGGCTTTGTGATCTTGAAATCCCCTACTTTGTGGTCGGAGTTCTTCCAATTTGTAAGTGTGATATGTTTAAATTCGTCGTCGCCATGTCGTGTGAACTTGACAGAGCATTGGTATAAATCACCATGGCCTCCTCCTAGAAGCGCATAGTGGTTATCAGTCTCTGTAGGTTCGATTGGAGCCGAGATTCGACCTCCGGATAGGGGTTTCTTGGTTAATCCGAATTGATATCCATCGTTATCACAGTTGACAGAACCCCTCGAGTTATCGCAGTACTTGACTGTACTCTTATCGGATACCTTCGAAATATCGAATTCTACACGAAAATGGTCACCTGGGTTCATTTTACCAGTTCCAGTTCGTCTAGCCCACTTGCCAACACCTCGGTAAAACGCACTCAGGATACCTCCAAGGCTTCCATTTTCTTTGCCAGGCATACAGCGAAGACTGTTGGCGATCCGGCCTTGAGAACCAAAGGGATCTTGTCTGGATGATGCCGGGGGCCATTCGTCACATCGCCACATTTCCGCTTCCGATTGCTTATTGGATGGTATGAATTTTTGGCTGTATGGAAACGACTGACAGACGCTGGCTACCGAGCCGCTTTTGCCTTGTGGAATCCTGGCTCGGCATCCTGATTCTATACGATTCTTTTCTTGGTTCTCTGGGTCTTCATAGACAATCCTGTCGGCATTTAGAATCCCGTTTGTGTGCGCGTGACAGTTGATATAATAACAAGCATTGTTACAAGCAGCTGCTCCCTTTTCACAATTGATATCAGCTATACCGAAGTCCGTCTGGGCTATAGTGGCGGTAGCAAATAGTGAAAGTATGAACAACTTCAACATCCTGACATATGAAGGAAAATGGATTTAAGTTAGAGAATATGATATCAAAATATATCTTTAAGATGACAATATGAGGGATATTAATAAAACCAATATTCGGACAGGACGTTCTAGATTATTTATACATATGTGGGAGCTCATCTTCACTATTGTAGCCCTTCACCCAATGTTCACAACCCTCCAACAAGGCTATAAATGTAACTTCTAATTCCAAAGCGGAAGCTGCAACTTCAATGATGAAGTTGATATCCATCAGTTTCAAGTCTTGGACCCAGTCGTTTAAACGGAGCCGACAACCTACCTTTTTGGAATGTTTGGCGTCGTTTGATATGAAGTGGCGCATGGCAGTATCTAAGTCTAGAGCAACAAGAAATAATAATAAAGTTGAATCATCACGAAGAGTTAAGTGGTTGGTGTTGTTTAATGACCCCTTAATGGGGCGTTTTTAAAATCCCATTTAACTATGGCACTTTGCGGACAACTAACGACCTAATAATAGAACTAGACATTTTCGGCTCAATAGACGAAGGATGATATATAATACATAGAATGATGACCATTGCTAGATAATGTGGCTAACCAGTGGCACTTGGATTACGAATATCATTAGCAAGTCCGAGTAGCCCATGTGTTTTGTGCTATCCTAGCCTTCCTGCTAGGGAGTAGGTAAATAAGACCATAGATACCTCATAAAAAAATCGCAAAACATTATGAATTGCTTCAGTTACCGTATTTTCGAATCAACAGCAGTACGTTTATGAGATTGCCCGTGGAATAGAGTGTCTAGAGGTAGGTTAGGTAGGTTACCCAAGGTAAGAATCTGCATCAACACTTTACACCAACACTTTACTCCATCTCTTTACTCCACATCTTTGCTTATTTCTTTGTTCTTTGGTAGGTCCGGTGGATTACACAAGCACTAACTACACTGAATATATGATACCTAGGTAGGTACATACCTAGGTACCTAAGCAACCAACATTAGGTACAGATACACAACCAACATACACATTGGGCACCTCTTAGCTGCCTTCTGTGGCAACTTTCTCCGAAGTTGCACCGTTTCACCTTCTTTTGGCCGCCCCACAAAACTCTCGAAGACATTTTAGTTTTAATATTTACTTCAATCGAAACCTAGCCCTCAATATATCTAATACGTAACTAACTAAGAAGATACGAATGTGTTGACCCCGATCAAGAATTATCTATCTAAATATCTTAAAGCATTTTCTCATCAGTTTCATTAGCAACTGGCTGGCTACCTTATACTCCCGCTTCAACATGGAGAAGAAATGCGGAAATTATGTTCCATTTGCGCTCTTCATTCTCTCAGAGAAAATCTCAGTTGAAGTAAGTGTCTTCACTCCAAGCACTTTCACAATTAACGCGACGCAAGTATCTCAACACGCTACTCGAACGCGCTTTAGATACGTCAGAATCCAGTGCCGGCTGGTACATCTTAACAGTTGTCCATATCACGGACCCCTCCGATCCGTATGGTTGTGCGCCTGATGAAGTGATAGTAAGAGATGGGGATCGTGTATATAGGATGCCTCAAAAGGGGACTCGTCCTCCCTTGGATGATTCATTCGTATCGCCTTTCCTTGGCAAGACTGTAGAAGACTGTGCACGCTATCTACGTGGGACACCGGATAAAAAAGATTGGAACAGAGAGCACTTCTGCGTATTATGTGACGATGACTTGCTTGAGGATACAGTTACACTAGTGCGTGGGTTTGAACATGGTGCTGTGCATTCTTTCCCATGCCCTGTGGATGAGATTTGGGGGAAGATGATGACTATGTGGAATGGAAGGTCTTTCGAAGAGCAACTACAGACGTACCAGTATATTGTAGAGGAACACCCCGACAAGGATCGAAGTGTTGGCGAGGCTTATGAGCTTTTAGAATATGAAGAGGATGGCTACATTATTTTTATTTATTGAACGCATGAGAGATAGGATTCGAGTATTGAAAAGAAATTCAAGTTTCAATCTTTAGTTGCATAAACATGCTCTAAGAGGCTTATGAGAATTGCATACTCTCCATGAAGCAAAAAAGTTTCACATTGGACATAACTGTCGAGAAATCTAACTCACCAAATCAAGATACAAGAATAAACATGTAGGATAGCGATGGTATAATTATGCGTAAAATATCTTTGGTTTCTTTCTAGTAGAATACGGTTGCTAAGAGACATTGTAAAATATGCACTAAGAGGATTTAATGGTTACCTAGTTTCCTACCAGATTGGCCCCGTGGAATTTAGGTACTAATGTCTAGGCGAGAGCGATGTATAAATAAGGCGATGGGGCGTTCAATTTGGATCTCACTGTTGGAGATTTTTACCTTTTTCATTACCATTTGAAACATATCATTCACAATAGATTCTCACAATGGATTTCACACAAATACCTTTGCTTATAACCCAGCTAAATAGTATTAGCCCGAAGATCTCTAATGATGACAACATTTCGAGGAAAGAAGCATTGAAAATAAGCAAGAATCTCATACAAGTCCTCGAGAAACCTGAAAAATTGGCCCATGAAGTGGCTTTTTCGGTACTTCAAAATACTTATGTATTTGTTTACATATATTGCGGTCTAACTTCTACGATAGCCTTTAATCACGGTTTCTTCTATTATTGCCATCGATCTTGATCTTTTCAGGCTGATTGTATAGCACGGCACTGTCAACTCCAAGGAGTTAGAGTCACTCTCAGGCGGAGAAGGGCTACTAGTTGGTACAGTTGTTTAAATACAGCATCGAACGCTGTGAGTGTTATTACGAATACTTACGTCTTAGCTAGTGCTGAAGAAATCAACTAGTAAATTAATAGCCGGGGGTGCTGCATACAAAGGCCTAGATTATTTTCGAGAGGTTGGCTACCGTTGCCCTACCGACCCTCGTGATGGCTTGGTAAAGTATACATGCCAGACAAAGCTGAGCTTGTTTCAGTATTTAGCAGCAATTCCCAGCGTGTCGAATGACTTCAACCTGTTTATAGGAAGTACAATGGGGACTTGGGGTTATTGGGTTGACTGGTATTCAGTTGAGGAACGTCTGCTAAAAGGGGCGTTTCAAGATACAGCCCTTCTTGTGGACGTAGGAGCTGGTGAGGGCCACGACACACTCATTCCATACAAGATATCCAAATCAAGGATGCCTAGTCCTCCAAGACATGGTACCTCTATTTGATAACATATAGGCTGTGATGGGACCATTGAGTGTATGACCTACAACTTCTTTAATGTACAGCCAGTAACAGGGAAGATATCTTCATAATATGATAGCATTTGCTTATATTCAATGGGAGCACTACGTACTTCTACCATCATGTCCTGCACGGTTGGTCTGACAATATGTGTTTAGAAACAGTAAAGTAGAGTTCTACCCGTATACCACTCCTTTATGGGGCCAATTAGAACTAAATCTGTTAGTTTAACAATCATTACTATCTCAACTGTAATTGTTATCACCTAATCTGGTAGCGGTAGTCATACTACCTACTCTAATGGATTATAGTTATCTTCTGAAGAAGTGGTATAGCTGTGTGTATCTTGTAGGTCTAGCTGATAGCACTGCCAATTATCTGCAATATATGGTAAAGTGTCACGTAGAAATTCATCAAATCACATCTACTAAGCTAATTAAAAATCATAATTCACTTTACGCCTCACCAAAATGGGCGAGGCCTTGACCTTATTTGTCCACAAACTTCGTGGAAGGCTCCTCCCATACTGCTTCAATAATGCATAGTACACTTCCTTCAATCTTCCGGGTGCCTTTGAATCGAAGCCGAGAGTCCACAGCTTCAATGATCTCTTTCCACTTGGCCTCCGTTCGTTCCTTGGCATTCCATACAGCAAGCATTAGGAGGTCCAAGTTCCTAACAAAGAAGCATAATATTAGTATGAGGGCTATGACATAAAATCAAGGGATTGGGTGGGACTAACCGATGATGTTTTCTGGTGAACCTGGTTTCTGGACCACCTTTGAGGACATACTCGTTAATTATCACTCTTGTTCCGTGCTTCATCCCCGGTACCAGTGCCTTCAAAATTCGCAGTGCATTCTTGTCACTCCAATTATGTAAAATCCAGCGAAGATAGAAAGCATCTACATCCCGGCGAGGCTGGGGCTCGAAAAAGTCGTGCGCCTCGAAAACAACACGAGACGCAAGTGTAGGTAGCAACGTCTGAGCACCCTTAGTCGTCGGTCCAGGAAGGTCTTGGACAACCACTTGAAGATGATGGGTACCGGCGGCGAGGACACGCGCGGGACCACCTGTTCCTCCGCCGATATCTACCAGTATAGCCCCTTGTCTATCAAGAATATTCCACGGGTAGCCAGCTAACAGGAGTTTAACGTCCTCCTCTGTGCCCTCGGCGAAATATTGCATCCCCCCCGCGAAACGTGCCGCACGCGCTTCGTCCTTTTTTAGCAACCCGAAATATGTTTGTCCGGGGCCATGCAGTAGTGCCGTGGCGGCCTGTGTTGGTTCATCGCGCTCGCTAGCTGGCAGGTCGCGCCAGTGGATAATAGCTTCGTTCACGTGGACAGAAATAGGCGCGAAGTCCTTTACTAGCACTGAGAGAGAGTGTTTTGTTAGTTGAGATAGTCCGTGCACCGCCGGGAGGTTAAGGGGGCATGCGTGATGAATAAGAAATATCTAAAACAGTCGTGTAGAAGCTTGGACGAGGGCGAGGGAGACTAATTACAGGTTTATGAAAAATACTTACTACCGACTGCAGCTAGAGCATCTGGGTTTGTTGCCAATAGACGGGAAGCTGCAGTATGTACGACACGTCCTGAGGGCTCACCAGGTGCTTCGCTGAATATATGATTGGTCATTGCATGTCGTAAGATACGTTCTACTATAGGTGAGTCTAGTTCGCTTGCTTGCGCTATCTCTTCAAATGTTGCTGGCTCATTAAGGGGTACATGCTGAGCAAGACGGAAATCGTAGATAGCGCGCAGGGTCATCTCATCGGTGAACTAGCAGTGCGGGAGTAAGCCGATATTAGCTACCTCCTAGGTTGGGTAGGTATTCGTGGCGACTCGTTAATCGAAGTTGAAAGTTGAATAAATCTATACTATACCTGGAATACTAATTCTCGAAGAATGCCACCCGCGCCTAGAGCAAGCCGCTTTGCGGTCTGCGTTTTGTTGATGAACTCCTCCCTCGTAGCATTAATTTCCACAGGAAGACCCCGGAGAGTATCAAACTCAAAGGTAGTCTGTTTTCGACCCTGAGATGCAAGTTGGCTATCTAACTTCAAAGCAAGATCTAAGATTTCTAATGCGAGCTCTGTAAATGATCCCTTCGATGCTGTTTGTTTGGCTTCCATTTTATTGTGCTTGTTGATATAGTTAGAAAGGAAGTTTGAGGATTAAAGAATGTCGTATTGTTGTAAGTTTCTAAGGTAATGAGGCACTGGTACCCCAAGTTCGAAATACACCGAGTTGCGCCTTTTTATGCAGTGGCTTGCGTCCAGTTGTTGGCCGCGTAAGCTGGTTATGCTCCGAGAGAGAATTATTCCCTATAATCAACTTTGAGTTCCGCACAGGAACACTAATAAGAAATATGGGAAATTAAAATTGCATAAATAACATTGCATCTCTCGGAGTGCAAAGTAATATATTGTAGGTATTCTAGGACTGCAACAAATGGCTACTTGAAGTCTGCTCGAAGGGCTGTATTCTCTTTGGTTATATTTGCCCACTCGGCGCTTTTGACCCATAATCTCTCCTGTTTAACTTCATCTCGACTTTCTGGAGAGCTTTCGTCCTTCTGTAATAATTCAAAATAGCCCCTTTCACCCGGATATATGTGATCAAGTGCAAGCTCAATAGCATCTACGGCAGATTCAGCTCCCAGGCGCATTTGTGGGTTTGCATACCGCATTAATGGTAGTAACGGCTGTATGATATATCGCATTAGGAGACTTAGCGTTAGAGACGTGTTCTTGTCGAATATACGTGAATCTACAAGACCACCCGGGTTATAGGCCACAGCTGTAATGTTCTGAAGACCGGGATCCTATAAGGCTCGTTAAACATGCTGAATTTACTCCAAATACATATTGAGCTCTCACCTTTTCCAGGTATCTATTAAATGCGTGCGTCCAGGATGTGATGACAAGCTTGGAATTCCCATATCTATGGAACCCACCTGCGGCCTTGTCGGCATATACAGCTGGCTTGATGAGTAAATCGATGTCATCAGGGATTGCAGGTGGTATCTTTTCTAATATAGCTCTACCAGGACTGTGAGCTTCGCTGGAGAACAACACGATGCGGCCACCATCGGATGCAAATCTGTCGAGAAGTTTAAGCACTAGAGCCACGTGTGATATGTGGTTTATCTGGAATGTCTTGTCGTATCCATCCTCCGTAAGCTCAGAATCAGCGACAAGGTCCCAGTAGCATGCATTGCATAAGATACTCTTTAAAGGCGGAATTTGGTTAGTCTGTATATATTTCGAAAGCGTGTTCGCGAATTGATGGGTGTCAGAAAGACTCGTCAGGTCGAGTTGATAAGTGAATGCCCTTGCTCCTGGATATCGCGATATTACTTCTCGTAACTTGTTCGTATTGGGGTCGGCATCCGAAAGATCCCGGACTGTTAAGAGTGCCGTATGGTCTGGGTAATTCTTAAGCAGGTATTCTACAGCTGGAATGGCGAGGGTACCATTGGCTCCAGTGATTAAAATACTGCCTGCCATATGTATTGAGCGACTAACCCACCGCAGCAGATATAAACTCTGTACTTATCGATGGTATATAAGGGGTATTTAACAGAATATTATCTAATAAATGTGAATTTAATATTCACGAAGATTAGCGGTGTGCTCCTGCGAGACTTTCCACCGATATCAGATATCGCAAAGTAGTTTGGAGGTGGGTTAGCTCAGTCTTAAATAGCTTTAGGAATAGTAATTTGGACAAATTGGGAACGTTACCCTATACTAATCAAGATCACTATCATACTATATTCTGCCGTAATATTTTACGAGAAACAGGGGCTGTAGAATCGTGCTGACGTGTAAGATAGAACCAGCCCCTGTATGTAGGATCCACATGATCCATCACTACATCAGAAACCCCTATTTTCCGTGCTCAAGGTCTCATTCTCACGATACGGGTCTAATTACTTCGAATTATAGTTAGTGGCAGATACAGGCTTGTTTTGCTGGAAGAAACGGTATATGAGCTGTGCTTGTATATTGACTTAGTCTATCAACTGTATGAGTAAAAAGGGAGGTCCTTCTTATATATACATTCTATGCCAAGATACTATGCACTGTACCTGAAAGTAGTTCCTTGACTACATGTACCCATTTCAACATTTTCTATCTCGACTTTATGCTCTGTTATTATAGCAAAACTCTTCTTCTATTTATCAAGTACCATAGCCCATTTAACATCCTCGAAACCTTGTCTCGTTCTAATTTCTACTTGAATATCCTCATCTGGCCCCATTATTCCGGCAGCAACGTTTGTATTCGCTGTAGTGGGAAGTTTCCAGTCACCTTCTATAGGTTTCATGTCCAACCTCACAATGAAAGCAGCAACGAATGTAAGAATCTCATTCGTTGCAAAGTGACGACCGGGACAGAGGGTCTTGCCACCGCCGAATGCACGGAAGCAGACATCGCGCGGACGATTATGCTTCTCTTCGGGGAGAAATCTGCGTGGATTGAATTCCATGACGTCGGAGCCCCAAAGATTAGCATCCTGATGAATGACGATGCTTGGTATCTGCAACATTGCACCTTTCTTTAGCAGCCATTGATCGAGGTAGGTATCTTCCATCACTTCACGTATGGATATTCCCATGGAACGATAGCGAAGGACTTCCTGGTAAGAGGATAATAGCAGAGGACAACTTTCCCTTAACGTAGTTATGTTAAGAGTTTTGACAATAGAACCATTCTCTATAGTTGTCTCGGTGCATGCGTCAATCTCGCTCCGAATCTCCTCTAGGAGCCCTGGGTGGGAGTGAAGTAGAATAAGACACCAAAATGCTGCAGGTATCGTATTTACTAAGACAGCAATCGTGCCCCCAACTTCCAAACGCGCGATATCTTCCAAGGGGAGATTGTTGTTTATCCCCGCTTGGTACCGATTTTGAGCAAAAGCCGATGCTTTCTTCACCCCACCGGCTTTATAATATGCTTCAAAGGCCTTGGCAACATTATTTCGAGCCTTAATCGGTTTCTGAGCAGTGATTGAGGGAAGGAACCCGAGAAGAATCGGCAGGAGACCACACTCGAACTCCCAGAAAGAATCGGCAATAGATTTATCCTCATACGGGCTCATCGGACCATACACAGACCTAGTAGTAGCAGTCATGATAGTGTCTCTTAGCCAAGTATATATCCCACTTTTTCGAGACTCCCCTTTCCTGGCTTGTAACTGATTGAGGGAGTTTGCAATATCTTGTATCATGATACGGTTCATGTCGTCGAGGTCTGATCCTGGCTTGAGCCTAGTTCTCATCCCGGCATGAGTCTCTACTGTCAACCCGAAATCACCTTCGTCGCCATTTATATTTATACCCAAGATCTCTCGAGCTGCAGGGCTTGCTCCAAAGGCCGTGGATGCGAACCTAATCTCAATTGGTGGAAATGCAAAGGTCTTATGTTGCTTTTGCACTGCCTGGATGAGTTCCGGGTTTGTTATCACATACATCTTCTGACCCGGGAGAGCCATGGTGAAGATGGCGGAATCCGTTTGCTGACTATGGCATCGTTAAATGCGCCTTATCATAAGGGGAGCGAGTCTAATAATACCTGAGGTTGACATAGTAGTTGAACTTGCTCCGTGACAGTCCAAGCATATGCCCGATAATAGGAATTGACTGGGGAGCCAGCGGAGGCTCGCGGGGATCATGGCCAAACTTCCTCTGAGTAGTGAAGTAGGTCAAAGTGATAATAGCAATGGAAATCCAGAGGATACTAGAGACGCTGGTAAAAGATGACATGATGAAAGCTGAAGAAAAAAGGATAAGGAGTATCGAATGGAGAGGTAGTTAATAGTTCAAAAGATAGGTAGGTAGTACCTCAGCTTGCATCATCATCATAGTGTCTATCCGCTATCCTTGGAATATGTAGATATAGTACAATGCTGTTCCACCACCAAGAGCGATATTCTCCATCAGGAGACGTAAAAGATACGGGTCATTAGTAGAACCGTTATCTTAGTACCTAATATAGAAAGACATAATCGTATGATAATCTATTGATGAAGACTTTGATAAGTCCGAACTAGGTATAACCCGTATGCTGGAGAATCGCCGAGTAAAGGGCTAGGTTTATGACAGAACTAACAGTATCTCACCTCTAAGAACAACTCTGTGGCCATGACAAACATTTGAGATAAATCCAATCGGACAAAACATTAGTATCAGTCTCATGCATACGCCTGCGGTAGTATGCACTTGGTGGGTCACTGAATCTATATCTCCGAAATTGAGCGTCATCTGTGGTGATGAGTTCCGGAGATGGCCGGAGCGGAAAGTCCATATTATAGGATGGCAATATCTCCGAAGTTATCCAGATCACCATTCTAAGGATTTTAGAACGTCGGGTATGCACCTACAGTTGCAGATACTAGATATGCTACCCGCCGTTCTGATATTCATGCATCAATTAGCATACGCCACCACGCAAGTAAGCACCGAGATCTACACCATACCGTTTAGAAACTCTTCTACCTACCTAGATACCTTAAGCCTCATATACCTTAGGTACTTAATAGCATAATCAGTAGCAATATCATGTCATAATTGACCTATGAAGGCTCCACCCGTTAAGTATTGCCAGCCGCGTCACTTAGCCCAAGTAAGACATATACCATGATGCTGCAGAAAACGAACTATGTACTAGACATGCCGTATGTTTCTTCTCGCCCTACGAACTTAAAAGCCATCGCCGAGGAAGCAATTTGATGAACGATGACATAGCAATTGTATGCCTTCGAATCTTACCATTAACTAATATCCAAAATGACTCTCTCTAACTTCTTCGCACATATCGCCATCTCATACTGCCTCTTTGTTTTATGCGTCGTCGTTAAGATCGAATTTTTGATCCGGGTTATACGGAAGCAGAAGCCAAGTATATCTCAAGTACCAGGACCACGATTTGCACGATGGTCACGATTGTGGATTGCAAAAGCGCTCTCGTCTGGAAGATCTCATGAAATATGGTCCGAAGTAAATGCGAAATTTGGTTAGTAGCTTGATTCACATTAGATTCACATTGCAAGCCAGATAGTATCTAACAGTTACTACCATTAAGGGCCCATTGCCCGAATTGGTCCTAATCATGTCGTCACTGACGACCCTGAAATAACCCGCCGCATCCTCGCGGCCAGATCGGGATACGTGCGTGGGCCTTGGTTTGATTCCTTCCGTACCGATCCCCAAGTTCCAAACATCGTCTCCGAGCGCGATGTCAAGAAACACGGCCAGATACGTGCTAAATTGGCACCTAGCGTAAGGCCGTATGGATATCACGAAACTCTTACACTGCTAACACGCCATATAGTTCACCAATACATCTGTTGCGGCAATGGAGCCCCTTGTAGACCAGTTGGTGCTTGGCTGGATAAACTCGCTACGTAAGCGCTATACTGTACCGGATCAAGTGCCGTGCGATATTGGCGAAAAGATTCAATTTCTAACCGTCGACGTAATCACCAAAATCTGTCTAGGAGATGAGATTGGGTGCGTTAAGAATGACCGTGATATGCATCAACTCCTCGAGATAGTGGAAACTGGTAACTGGTTTTGCCAGTATTTTTCGGTCTTTCTAGAGTTAAATACACTCTTTTTCCAGTTAACTAGGATTCCTTTTCTGAGGAAATTTCTTTTTCCTACGCCTTGCGATCGCACCGGCATCGGCCGTCTTATGGGGGTGAGGTTTACCTCATATATACTCAACATGATATGGGCATAACTAACCTGGCATTCATAGATAATTCATGAAGTCGTGGACAATCGCGTCAAAGAAGGACATAAGACAAGTGATGTCGTCAGTTCACTACTGACGCGGGGAATGCCAAAAGATCAGATAGATTCTGAGCTCACCGTTGCACTGTAAGTTTATGTTGACATCTCTCCCATATAAAATTCTATTAACAATGGATTTTAGCGTGGCTGGCTCTGATACCACATCTACCTCAGTACAGAGTATTCTCTTAAGTATTATAGCTAGCCCCCAGGTTTACAAGACTCTATGCGCTGAGATCCGTGGGGCTGTAGCAGGAGGACAAGTTTCTAACCCCATCCAAGATTCTGAAGCTAAACAGCTTGTGTACCTGCAAGCTTGCGTCTTAGAAGGGCTACGAAAATTTCCTCCTCTAAGCCAATTACGCGAGCGTGTCGTTCCGCCTGGGGGAGATATGCTTGGCTGTTTCCACCTCCCTGAGGGCACATTTGTCGGTTTGAATATGTGGGGTGTGCAGCTTAACAAAGCTGTCTATGGAGATAACGCTGAGCTCTATTATCCGGAGCGTTGGCTGATAGATGATGTTGACAAGCTTCACGCCATGCACCAGACTCACTCACTGGTATTTGGACATGGCTCAACCAAATGCTTAGGCATGCCCGTAGCCATGATGGAAATCACAAAAGTCATATTCGAAGTAAGTTACAATCTATACAGTCGGCATAAAAGACCGGGATTATACTAACTTCGATCCCCTAAGCTCCTCAGGAATTTCGATATCACTATTGCCAATCCTCATAAACCATGGTCCAGTATATGTTACGGAATCTTCTTCCAGAAAAACTTCCACGTCTGCCTTAGTCCAATCAACTATACCAGCCCCCCAACCTATGAGCATGCTATGAAATCCGAAGTATCTCTTCCCTGAATATCAGCTTACCGCCATCTCCTTCAATTCACGTTTTATGATGGTTTGATTCAAAGGATTAGCTTGGAATTAGATTACCATAACACTATTTTACCCATCAAGTTCTCGTTGTTTTATTTCCATTACTTCACACTGGTTAGATAGACGATGTGGTTGCTACTGTACTACAATAACAAATCATTCGTCTCTTTGGAATATTGTGCTATTTACCAGATGCTATGTTTTATTTTTACAGCGATGTATATTTTCACCTTTCAGTCACTAGAAGTACAAAGATGCGCGGTGAATAGGATACCTACTCTCCGAAATATTACCTAGTGGCCTAGATTGCATGTTGATCAAGATTTCGTTCCGTAAATTAAGCAGCCATCTGTCATACATGTCATACGCAGAATAATATAGTAAGGTGCATCAGTCTAATGTCTCGCGTTATATCCGTCGCGATATTTTAGGTATTATCCTATAAGATGGGTAGTTAACCGGACTTCGGAAATTCTAATTATGTTTGCACGGACTTACGTAGGAGAGGTTGGTGGCTATGGCTTATGTTGTAAATAATTCTTATCTTAAGATATCAAAAGTAACGGAATAAAATGTCCCAATAAGCTCAAGGTCAGCATGGTCAAAAGCCCCGGTGTGGCTGCCGAAAGCTGCAGCAAAATAAGTAACAACAATAAGGAGGCTTATAGAAACATTATCTAGGTACTTACGGAAACTTGCAGATTAATCTACGTATTGCGTATCTCTTATATGGAACCCTTGCTATAGTGTTCGATGACCATCATCGGGACCGTAGTGCCAAGGTCTACGATCAAGTTTACCTCGCCCGATGTTATCGCTTGGTATGACACATTTTCAAGGCTTCAAGTGAGAGAGTCGATTTACGATGCGCACGGGCCACTTTGAATTGGATTAAACGGATTATTATCGTACATACATAGGAGGTAGATACTCGTGCCACGCACGGTTTAACGTAGAATGGATCCAAGCCCCGCCCCCTTTTCAAGCCTACGATCCTTAGTACTGGATTTCAATAGGGGTTACCCAATGTTAGACTGCCTAGGTCAAGGAGACATGATCTGAACGACATCCTTCACAACTTAAATAAGGCATGTTCAAGCTATTTTCGCCACCTCGGTTGCTTCACGATGTTCCTTCGTATGTGAACCACCCCGAGTTCGCCCCCACCATAGCCCAAGAGTTAGGATAGTAAGGCCACCTCCAATAGCTATGTATACCCAGAAGTAAAACGTCAGCACGGATTGTCCCTCGGTAGCCTCCCAGTTGAAGACGCCCATTGAGAAAATAGACTTAAGATATTAGCCCCTTGCCATGTTTGTATTGAAGATTACACTCACAGCAACCGACGTCAATGGGAGATATATCATAGTCATTAGAGCAATTGAACGCATCTGTGCGTTATCTCGCTTTGTTTCGATAGATATGCGCGTGTTAGTAAAGGTTTGATGTCTTGCGACATGACCCGATGCCTATTCATTAGTCGCAGTTAGCTTCATGGCCGTCAATGGGGCACGGATCACCTTACCATCTGCGTCGTAAAGTTCAACCCATTGAGAACCATCTGACATTCGTCAAGCTTCTCATCATACTCAGACTTGATCTCCGATAAGCGCTCGCGAACCCGGGTCTCAATGTTTGAAGACATCGAAGATGCATCATATTGGACTCTGTCTTTATTTCCAGGGCCTGATTTTCTACGGGATTTCCACTTTCTTCTTGGAGTCACAAATATGGCCTCAAGTTCATGAGTGTGCTTGCACATGTCTGAGATCTGCCGTTTTACCTTTCGAATCCCCTTTGCCAATTCGCTAGTGTTTGTGTATAGATTTAATAGCTCATCCGTGTTTTCCCCGTCTCTGTTTAAGATACTTTCAAGGTCCCTAGATGTACAGCAGAGTGCTTCTGTGCTCAATACGAACGGATCCAGAACTGACTCCACTTCTTCTACAAGACGTTTACGGTCGAGTTCGATCAGTATACCAGGAGTCAGCATTGGATGGTATACGGCGTCTCCAGCCTCTGCCAGACGTCTCTCAATGTTAGACGATTGCTTATCATTACATCCGTAGAAGACTGATAAGCTAAGTTTCCTGTGACTCAAGTATGTCGAAGATAGGGCAATATCATCTGGCCATGCTGAACTCGTTCTCGCAGTATATACTTCAGGAATCAGAATTCTGTTTTTCAATAATGAAGGATAAAGATAATACCGATGCTGTTACTTCCAGGTATCCCTTTACGAATATATAAACGGGAAAAGTACGTAATTTCCCGACGGATAGTTCGAACTATTGAACGGTGTATTCGGAATATCTCGATGAGCTGGCTGAATCCATGCTTAGAAACCGGAAGATATGATGGAGACGAATAGTCTAAACTGCTGCTCCGATTGAAGATGCTGTTTATGTTAGTTCTGTCCGAGCTACATTTCTCGCCTATGAGATAGACATACATGGCAAATATTCCATGCTCGCAAACACGATCAATCAAGAACTGATTCTATATAATGTAAGCTTGGCAATGCATCAAGTTGGTTTCCAAACCTTCTCGATCCATTCCCTCAGGTCCTCAGCGGATTGAATATCCCAGCATATCAGTTCCTAGTGATAGGTTAATTATCGTTAGCAAACATGCTAAACTTATGAATTCATTTTAAGGTATATGCACCTTATCGGATTGAAGTTTCCTGATGATCTTGAACCGGCTTTGGTTGTACTTGAAATTTCCAAAATCATTATCATCAAAACATTCTTCGACATTGGGCCAGTCCATATTTCTTCATGTAAGGTTACGTCTTTCAAGGCATTGATATTTTAGTATTGAACTTGAAAGTCTAGTATTAGATCACTTGGGTATTAGGTGCAATTCGGAAACAGAGAAGCGTATATTGGGGTAGGACGGTTCCTAGCTCCCCAATATTTGAGACGGGGTCACTTTTTCTTAGTACGACCGACCCAACGTAGAAGAGCCTCATGGAAATTACTTTCAATTTAATCGGCAATTCTATAATTGGTCAGATCATGACGTGCTGATATCATCAAGCAACAACCCGTATTTGTAAGTTAGTTGGTTGGTTGATGGTGTCGCATAATGCTTCCTTACTGTCGTGGAGTAGTGAATGCCCAATGAATTCCAGCTATCAACATACTTAAATCAAGCCACAAAGGCAACCCCTCACCAGAATGATGCCCAAGGAGATAAAGGTGCATCACGAGTTAGGGTAGTATCGAAGTACTAGCACACACCCTAAGGTTAACTAGACGATTAGAGCCTCAGTAAGATAAATACAAAAGGGCTATTAACCAGATGGAAAGGCTAATATAATACTAAAGGGCAAAGTTAAAATTATCAACGCTTTTTGACTCGTATTTTTATAGCTAAAACTCGCACAATGCCTTCTGAAGTTCGTACGAACAAATCCAGGTACCCACCAGGATGGGTCCAATCAGTTCTGAGATGTACGTACAATGATGGTGGAGAAATTAGAAAAGGTCTAGACGAGCTCCTCGGGGAGAAGGGCTATATCCTCAAAGTACGTATTGTATAAGGCTATAGTAGAATACTATAACTGACCCTCGAAAGCACCGCACAGGAAGATGGGTGATCTGGGCGCCTAGGAAGTTGACTACTGTACCTAACCTATCGCAAGTTATATCTGTAAACGAGGAAGATTCTAATTATTAATTCAAGGTTGATGAAACCGAACTCGAAAAATCCGCACACGTACATTATCAGAATTAATGTTGTTCAAACGGGCCAAGTCCTCCTGTTAGTATTGACCGTAGCATTCATGAGAGGGATTTAGTGGGTCAATACATTACTTTAAATGCAGGTAACTAACTACCTACCTAGGTAGGTGGTAGTTAATTAACTAGACAAGAAGCTGGATCAATAACAGGATTAACTTGAAATATGTCAGATTAATCAGCCATATCAGGTGACTTGAAAATCCCTAGTCTCATGTAAAATAACGGTGTAATATGCGTTCCTACGATTTTATTTTAATTAATTAAATTATTAAAATATAATAAATTAAACCTTATATAATACCTATTTAATATATATTAATTATGTAATAATTAAGAGTTTTATATGTTTAAATTATATAAGCTTTAAGGATAAAATTTTAATCGGTGTTATATAATACAATATATATACGTTAAAATAAATTTTAAATAAATTATTATTTATTTATTATTTTATTATAGATTTTATTATATTATTATTAAGTTTTAAATTTAAATATTTTAATAATTAAAACGTATAAAATAAAATGTTTATATTATTTATTTAAAATTATTAGTTTTAAAAATAAATAAATCTTAATAACGTTAATATATATGGAGAATTTAAGGTTTAATTTAAACCTTTTCTTTAAATGTTTTAAATTTAAAATTATAAAAAATTATTTAATTTATTTAAATTTTAATTAAGAGTAATAATAAAGGTAGGAATTTTATTAAAAGGTTAATTGTTAATAATATTAATTTTAAATAATTAACTTTTTTTTTTAAATAATATAAAAGATGATTAAGGTTTTATAAAAGTTTTATTTAAAGAAATTAAATACGTATATATATATTAAAAATAAATATAATTAATAAAAAAAATTATTAAATTAAAATAATTAATTATTTAAATTATATTAAAATTTTATTTTAAAATTATATAATAATTTAAATATATGATTTAAAATATATATAATATTTTAAAAAGTTACTTAAGTATATATATATTAAAATATAAGATTTAAGATAATTATATAAAGGTTATAATATTATTTATAAAAGTATTTAAAAGTTAAGAAATTTAAATAATTAATTAATTTATTATTTTTATTAAAATTAAATATTTAAAGTTAATTGTTATTAAAAATCTTTAAAAATGATTTTATATATTAACATTAATTTTAAAACCTATATTAATAAATTAAGTAATTATTTAAAATATTATTTTTTATGAAAAAATATATAATAGAATTTTAATATTTTAAAAGGTGGTTATGGCGTTACAAAAGTATATATAAATTTTTAAAAATATTAAAAAAAAAAAGAAAAATAGTTAAAGGTATTTTCGGGTTAATTTATGGTATTAATAAAGGTAAAAATATTAATTAAAAAAATAAATTTAATTATTAAAAGATATTATTATAATTTATAAAGATTTTTAAAAGGTAATAAGGTAATTTTAATAAGTAAAAAAAGGTTAATATTAACTTAAATTAATTTTATAAATATTAAAGTTATAATTGTAATATTAAATATAAGACTTATTAAGGTTTTTATAACGTTAAAAATTATTTTTATATATTTAAAAATAAAAAATCTAAATATTTTAAGTTTAAAAAGATAAATATTATTTTAATAAAATTAATTTTAAAGATTAATCCCGATTTAATAATTAAAATAAAAACTTTAAAAAAAAAAGTAAAGGCTTAAAGGGTAGAAAATAAGAATAGTTAATTAAATAAATATATAATTATTATAAAAAAAGGTATAATTTTTATGATATTAATTTATACTATTATTTTTAACGTTATTTAATATTTATTAAAAAATTTGGTAATATTAAATTTAAGGATTATTATTTATATATTTAATAAAATATTATAATAAGTAATAATAAAATTAAAATTATAAATTATAATAACGTAAATATTTATATTTAATATTTAAAAATATTTATTAAGATAAAATTAATAAATATAATTTATTATAAAAATTTTATTTATAATTTTATATCTTTAAAGCGATTATAAAGATAAAGCTATTAATGGAATATATATAATAATCCTACTTATTTAAAATAATTAAATAATATTATTATAATTAAATTTATTAATTATTATAATTAGTTTATATTTGAAAATATCTTTTATAAGATTTTAAAAATTGTTTTTTATACCTATTATAACGTTTTAAATTTAAGGTTTATAAAAATTTTAAATATTATAATTATTTTTTATTAATATTTAAGATTAAAATATTTAAAATCCTAGGTTTTAAAATATTTAATTAATATTAATAAAAGGGTAAGAATTAAAGGATTTATAACGGTTAAATATAAAATATATAATATATTTAAAATAAAACATTAAGTAAAGCATATGCTATATTATATTAATAAATTTCTTAATATAAAATTAACCTTTAATTTTTATTTAATAAAGGTAAATAACTATAAGATTATAAATCTTATATTAATTAATAATAAATAAATTGGTATAATTTTTAATTATTATTTATATAATTAAAAATTAAAAACGATAATTATGGTTTTAAAAAATCTTATTAAATTATTAAAATATTAATATAATATTATCTTACAAATTTAAGAACTAAATTATAAAATTATTTAAATAAAATTAATAATAAAAGATTATTTTAAAAGCCTTTATATAAGGTTAAAACTTTTAATTAATTATATATAAATATAAAATGATATTATTGTTAAAAAACTATTAATATTATTTAAACATATATAATAACTTAAATATTATTAAAAAGTTTATCTTTTTTTAATATAAGATGTAAAAAACATATTTTTTTTATAATTAATATTTATATAATAAAAGTAGCTAATATTTTAGCTATTTATAACCGGTGTGGCGGTTACGCCATACTTATAGCTATAAAGCTTATATATTATACAATATATCTTTTAAATAAAGATTATATTTTATATTTCCGTATTTACCTTTTATAAAATAATTTATACATTAATATTATAATATTAAACAAGACTTAAACGTCTTGGCCTTAAATCAAGCCTTATTAAACCTAATATTAAGGACTTTTAAATGATGAAACTGATGAATGAAAGGAATGACTTGTATTAAAAGTAAATGATATTATGTAAAATAGGTGTATACAATTATAAATGGTATTTATACTAAGAATATAATTATATGATTAAGGTTAAGGTTACTTGATACATTAGCATTAGTTTATAACCTCCTTTCGAATTTTATCGAGGCTACGAGATTAAATTCGACCTACGAAACAAGGGCTAAGACCTGAAAAAAAAGAAGAAATAAAACAATACGAGTGGGGATCGAATCTTAGGCCTTGAAAAAAAAAATTTCGTATTGCTTAAGCTATTAAAGCTATTAAGGTTTTTGATTATTAGCCTTATGGTATAGCTTTATGGTATAACCTTCTTAATATTCTAAGTATTATTAAGTTTTAAATCGTATTTTAAATAAATTTATATGTTGTATAATTTAATTAATTTAATTAAAATCGATTAAGTATTCGATATTATTAAATTATGTTTTTTAGTTATATAAAATCGTATAATAACAGATTTAATTATGATGTTTACTATCGAATTAAATATATATAAGGATTATGGTATAAAGATTGTGGTATAAGGATTATATAAAGGATTATTATATGGTTTTACCTTTTTTACAATAGATTTAATTGATCTTATTTTCTTTCTTATTCCGGTATTGTATAACTTTTGTAAATAACCTTCGTAATTAAGTTATTTACTTTCTTTAATATTTTAATACTGATTTAAATAAGCTTCGATATTAATTAGGTTTTTACTTCCTTTGTAATAAATCTAATAACTTATCGATTAATTAACTGGTTTACCTTTTTTATTATTAATTTCTTATAATTAATTGTTTTGTATATTAGGTATAATATAACCTAAAAAGTATTATATATTGTTTTTAAATAATTTGAAATATAATTTTAAACGTGGTAATTACTAGTATTTTCGCCGATTTTATTTTTATATCTTTTACGTATTTAATAAGGCTATTTTTTATTTCTTAATATTTAATTAGTTGAGATGTATTATGGTCCTTACATATTTTAAAATTGATTTATAATTGAATCTTAATATAATAATACTTCTTAAATCGTATTATATCTTATATATTTTAATTTAAAGTATAAAAATATTAATATTAAAGATTATATTAATTTAATTAATAAGTAACGTAATTATTAAGGTTATTAATGAGGTTATATTATATATATTAATAAATATATTAAAATATAATTAAATTAACTAATAAGCAAATATTTTTAAATAAATTAATATAATTAATATAAGGTTTAAATTATTTGATTAAGTTATTTAGCTTATATTTAAGCTATTGGCTAAAGGTATTAATAAAGTTATTGTAAAATTAGTTGTTGATTGATATATTATAAGCCTTGTGGATTATAAGATTATAAACCTTATTAACTGTGGGAGGTTACTTGATTAAGCTACGATGAGGCATTTTCGATAATAACGGTTTTTTTAAAATTAAAGTTACGGGTTTAAGTTGTTAAGGGTTGCTATTAAATAAAACTTAAACGTTTTAACTTTAAATTAAATCCTATTAAACTTAATATTAAAGACTTTTAAATGATGAAACTAATGAATGAAAGGAATGACTTATATTAAAAAATAAATAATATTATGTAAAATAAGTGTGTACAATTATAAATGGTATTTATACTAAGAATATAATCACATGATCAAAGTCAAGGTCACTTGATACATTAGCACCAGTTTAATATTATTACGTTATAAAAATATTTATATTTATAACTTACAAGTTTGTATATTTCAAAATGTAAATTTATATTTATATTAAATATAAGGTTATATTTTCCAATTTATATAAAAATTATACATATATAAAAAAAGTAGATCCGTTCGTATTTTCGGGGCTTATTCACGCCAATACCTTGGTAATATATTAAATTTCCCAATTTATTATAAATAATATTTATATTACTATAAAAATAATTTTATTATTACTTAACTTAAATATTTATATAAATATAAAATTTTTCCCTAAAATTTTTCCCTTAACTTTTTTCTTATAACCTTTTCTTATATTTAATTTTATATTTAACCTTACTTTTTTATTTTAACTATCCCTTTTATATTTTAACTATCTTTTTTATA